GGTTTTAATCACAATGTAAAGTTTCATGTGATATTACTCAACCTGGCAAGATATCATGAACTACTATCGGGTCGTTAAACTTTTTAATTATCTATAACTATATTTATATTAACTCTGATTCATTGTATTAGCTTTGTGCATTTTATTTCGATAATTCTTACAAAATATTCTTAACTATCTTGACTTTTTTTTTATAAAGATTGCAAAGGTGGGTATCTTTTGCTGATGAATGTTAATATGTTAGAGAAACAGGGTGTTACCAATTAATTTGTTTTTGATTCATGGAAAAGAAAATCAAAATGAACCGTATTCCTGAATATAAAATAATAGATTTACAACCGATGATTTCACACGGAAACAAATGCGATAATAAAAAAACAGTCTAACCAATTTTATAATGATCTAAGATAAACTCTTTATTGAGCGAAACGACAGTGTCTACTAAATGTTTCCGCACATTTCTTTTATCAATACTTTTTAAATAGAATCTTTTAACACTACACTTCAGTATTTTATACTCCATGCCTTTTATTACTGTACTGGACGATGGGATAATTATTTTCGTTTTTTTACCACTACCTATTGTAAGTTAATAAGATTTCTATAGACATAGTATATAAAGTCATTTTAGCTCTTCGACTGTTTCGGTTATTATACTTCCTTAGCTTTCAAATATTCGGCTTTGAGCATTCTTGATTAAGGTAAATCCATAAAAGCGCTTCCGCATGAAATATGTAAAGTGTTGTTTTCATTTTTTAAAATAGCTTTTTACTTTGACAGAAGGTTGCATGTACATGTGAACTGAAATCACACTTAAGAATTACGCTTTGCACACACATACAGTAATCTATACATGAGCTCTTAAACACACATACCCGTAAAAGCTCGATACTAGTGCTTAAATTACGGCACAAAACTTGACTGCCAAAGATTCCTGAGGGACATGACATTATCTGTGTTAGCTTGTTAGCGCGTATTTCTCTCCTGAAAATCGCTAAAGGTAAAACTTGGAAATCTTGTATGTCGTCGGAGGTGACACCAGTCAAGCTAGTGGTACAAATATTAGTTATCATAAATTATCTAAAACACATTTTTCACAACTTGTATATATCTGTCTCATAGGTGGACGTTTTTTCCACTAATTTAGGTCCTGGACCTTCTTCTCATGTTTCGAGTATATGATAGTAAACAAGCCTTTAAAGAGATACCAGTTTCAGTTTCTGGTTGTTTCCTTGATTTGTCTCTTTCTAATCTATTTGCGACAAACTACTGTCGCCTTTATTAATTACTAAGTATGCCAGGAGCCTCGTTTTGTTTTACACAAGACTCATCAATTCAAATTTAACCAAAACAGTTAGCTGGCTAAATAGATTACGAACTTGGAAAACTATGTTAACACAAAAAAAGAAGAAAAAGATAAACTATAATTGGTATATTTGATTGTAATATAATGTAAATTAATCAGTGAACTACGTGAATATTCGTGATTTGATCAGCATTTAATTTGATATAGCCCATTTGTAAACTTTATGGTGTGTAGAATAATTGTAATTGTACCTGTGCATATGAAATAAGTCAGTTGCTATGATATTATTTCTTTATTATTGTTTCACATTTAATAATTGTGATCAGTCGTTTTTTAAAACTGTTTTTTAACCAATTAAATATTTCCTGTCAATTTTTTAATTTTGCTTTTTCATTGCTAGTTTGATATGTAGTAAGATCTTTAAGTCACAAAAACAATTATGGAGATCATAAACTTTTTTTTTTACGTTTTCAACTTACACTTTTCATCTTAAATGGGTATCAAAATATAATTACAACACTGTTTTGTCAATTGAAGGAAACCGACTCGGTGGTCTCGTGGTAGCGTGTTCGTCACAAGTGCGGAAGGTCGTGGGTTCGAACCCCAGCCGTGTCAAACCAAAGACTTTAAAATTAGTATTTGCTGCTTTTACGCTAAACACGAGGCATTAAGGAGTACGAGCAAAGACTGGTCGGCTCGGAGTAAGAATAATGTGTCCGGGTAAGGTGACATGTTTTCCTGCGGACTGTTACCTTGTGAACTAGCACGTTAAAAATCATGCTCAGCGTGTCGGTCTAGTACAAAGCAGGGTTAATATTCATATTACATGAACATGTTCTCGTCCTGAATATGCATATTAATTTGCCGTTGGACTTTAAACAGCCATCCATCATCATCATCATCATCAATTGAAGGACTTTTGTAAAGATATTGAGTATCAACCTTGAAGTACGGAAGTTTGATTTACCAATTGGATGAGACATATTGTTTACCATTCTTCATTCAATGTGATTGTTTGATCAGATTGTTTGTGATCATTAACAATATGTACAAAAGGAAGTGTCAGACATCTGAAATTAATCAATATCGTCTGAAAAGTTGATAACATATCAAATAAAAAAAAAAGAGAGAAAAGATCGAAATGTTAAAAATATACATATATATATATAAAAAAAAAGAAAAGCATCGTTTGAATAGGGGATTTCACAATATCTTTTTTAATGTCGTCAATAGAAATAAAACATTGACAAAAGATATATTAAAAGTTCTCAAATCTTTCAACAGTAAGGTCTTTATGATTACATATCAAGTTAAAATGGGACTTTAATGTGTTGGTCGGACGACTGTAAATACGTCCTTGCTTTTCACAAATATTGTCGACTTCAATTAAATGTTACGAGAACTAATGAAACCTGTAAGGTGTTTTCTTTTTTGCGGCAGTAATCATTTAACAGCTGTGACTACATAAGCTCGCTTCATGAGACGTAGCTAGCATATTATGACCCTGCTTTTCAAATTATTTACCGTCTTTTTATTTCCTTGTTCAAGTTAATATCCTTTCTGTTCGTTGTCAGATTGTGTAGGTATTGTTATTGAGCGTTTTACTTTTATGACATATGGTATAAAAAGGCAAATCAGTTGCTAACACCCAAGTCATTTGGTCTCAGTTGGACATGTGTTTCATTGGCAATCATACCACGTTATCATTTTTTTTATGACGGGGAGGTTTGTGTGCACATAAGACTTGATTTATCATATATATGTTTCAGTTTTCTTGGAGGAGTCTTTTTTAACATATATATTTGATTGTACTTTACCATTCTCAGTGTGAATTGGCTAAATAGATTACGAACTTGGAGAACAATGTTAACAGAAAACAAAGAAGAAAAAGATAAACTATAATTGGTCTATTTGATTGTAATATAATGTAAATTAACTCCAATGAAAGTGTAAATGTCTAGTGAACTACGTGAATGTTTGGTGATTTCATCAGCATCTAATTTGATAAACTTGCAGTGAGGTGAGAGTTTTTTTTTGCTCCGTGTTGAAGGCCTCACTATTCTTTTGCTTTTTGTGTGTTTTTTGCTGTGCATGTACTGAATTTGTGTCATGGATGGATACCATACATCCTTTGTTTTCTCATTATATTGTTAGAAGTTTCAGCTACGTTTTATATATTTCGGACAATGAAAGGCATAAAAACGTACAAACCTACAAAACAGATGGTCATTTATTTATTTACCAAAAACTAATAGCGATTACACGTGTTAGTATATCAAGAACTAAGAGTTAAACCTTCATCTCTGACAACTAATATGAAAAGCGTGTTTGGCACAAATAAAATTCAAGCTGTTTAATATGATGAGTAATTTTCAACCACTGGTTCGATGCCACTGCTGGTGGATGTTTCCTCCCCGAGGCCATCATCAGCCCAGTAGTCAGCACTTCTATGTTGACATGAAATATTGATATGTTCATAATTATAGATTAACTGTTTACAAAACATTGAAATTTTCGAAATACATAGGATTGTTATACTGGAGGAATAGGTTACCTTAGCTGTATTTGGCCAAACCTTTCGGAATTTTGGGTCCTCAATGCTCTTCAAATTCGTATTTGATATTAAAATTCTCTTCGTAAGATTGAAATTGATATTACACAATTCTTACTTTCTATTCGATGAAACGACGTATCGACAAAACAAAAGTGATCCCGGGTACGAAACTAGTAATGGAAAAAAATATAGGAAAAAGTAAAATAACAAAAATACCGAACTAAACGGAAAGTCCCTTATCAAATGGCAAAGTGAAAAGCTCAAACACATCATACGAATGGAAAACAATAATTATATTCCTGATTTGGTACATGCATTTCCTTATGTAGAAAATAGTGGATTGAACCTGATAATAAAGCTAGCTAGACCTCTCATTTGTTTTACAGTCGCATATAATTCCATTATACTGACAACAATGTGTGAGCAAAAAACACAGTCATAACAGAGAGATTCTAAACAAAACTGTTATTTAAATCCTTCCGTCAGGCGTATGTAGAATCAACTTTTCGTTTAACTGTGAGAAGAGAATTGTACAATTATATTGAATAATATTCATCTTGATACTTGATTGGAAGAATTGAAACAGTCTTTTTATGTGTTGTCGTAAGTTTTGAGCTTTTGAAGGTCTGATGTGGGATTTTGAGACAAAGACCAGCAAACGAAAGAACCGTTCATATCAATCTAATGATAAATGGAATCGAAAGAGCGAAAATACAGGACATTCATGTACCGAGAACAGTGACAATTATATTATATATGTGTTACCATATGATTCAATGTACAACTCTAGAAATGTTGATATATTCATTTAACATTGAAAAGATGAAAAAAATATCAAAACTATCTACTTATACAAATCTAACTAGAGCTGGAACTTATAAAAAAACTGTTTTAAATGTTTAAGATATCGATGAAGAAATTGTGTATTTGGTTGCATTAATTTAAGAATCTGAGTTTGCATTTAAAAATAGAAAATTATAATGGAAATATATTTTACATTTATAAGCCTAGCATCTTTGATGAGTTTTTCTATTTTTCTCTGTAAAACGTACCAGTGTATGGATATCTAGGTAAACAAAAACCGGTCATTTTTAGAAGTTCGTTTTTGTTTTGTTAACTAGTATTTTTTTATTTTAACAGGCGTTATGTAACATTGCAGAACCGAGCATCGTAGGTATGTATGATAAAACTTAACAGCTTAAATAATAGACAGCCAACAGCCATTTATCTCATAAATCGATTGAGAAAACAAATCAAAGAAGATAGGTCAATCAGACCAAAAATTCAGTAGTAATTTGACTTCAGTTCAAGAGTATTTTCTAGATCAGTTCCAAGACTCTATTTATAGGTTAGACAATACTTGGTCATGTTTTATGAAGATTTAGCCCAAGGCGTAGCCGAGGGTTTTAATTATAGGTTAGATAATACTTGGTCATGTTTTATGAATATTTAAAGCCTTTAAATGTTCATAAAACATGACAAAATATTGTCTGACCAATTTAGAACATATTCACACCATCGAGTGACATAACAAAATTAGCCTATCCCATTGTAATACTTTAACCTGAATATGAGCTCACTTTAAGCGTTAACATGTTTAGTAAAATGAATGTAAATCATATAAAATGGTCATTCCAACAGATGGAATGAAATAGCAATGCGATAGTTTTGTTATTCAAAAATGAAGATTTCTTCTGCTTCAGGTATAGTTTAATACTTATATATCTAAAATTCCTTCATTTTAAAAGGACATAATGTTATATAAATCAGCTTTTCTAAAATTGTATAATTTTTGAATAATGACAAAACTTCATCAATGATTTTCAAAATTACAATCGTTTCAACATCAGATGCTTATTTTTTTTATTGATCAATGTATTGGTTTTTTTATCAACAGTCATTGTTTCTTAAAAATCCATTGATTTTAATGTTTCGCATAAGAATTATACTAATTATCGTTTTACCTGCACATTTGTCCCCTTTTCAATTCTTTTTGTCATTTTATTTTGGGGGGAGGGTTCAATATATGTATCATTATATAACGTATAAAATGTTTCTATTTTCCTGTTTTCCTTTTTAATAATTAGACAAACAACAATACTCATGATTTTTTTCTTTTGCTCTTTTCCTATTGAAATTGCCTTTGGGGATCTTACACTTCATTATTGTAGTCATAAAGAGTTCACTTTTATGATTAATCTTCAATGGAAAGTCATTCATGTATAGCATTTTATAGTGCATCGACAACCATGTACTACGAAAATTAGAAGGGAAATAAATGATTTTCCATTGGACGAGACGGGGTGAGTATGTTCTAACATTTTATAGTGCATGGAAAGCCATGTACTATGAAAATTAGAAGGGAAAAAACTGACTTTTCATTGGACGAGAAGGGGTGAGTATGTTCTAAGAAAAACAAAACAGTATTGCAAATTGAATAATTATATAATTTACTGACTTTTCATGCTTCAAAGCTTTAAACCAATCTAACGTTAGAGTTCAGTTTTGGAGTAGGAAACGCTTAACCTGTTGACGAACACGGTCTCACTCCTTTTGTTTGTTACCTTGGTGTGTATCTTTTCAATCGATTTATGAGATTTGAACATATGTAAACTACTGTTTACCAAATTACACACAGTGTTTCCTATAGATGTGTTTTTTGGGACTGAAAAGTAACTAAGGGGTTGTGCAGGTTCCAAAGAAATATATCAGCTCGACTTACGTGTACATTTCACGCTGCACTAGTTTTGTCTATATTCAAATTCAATTTTGGATGCTTAGAAACTCACTCTTATGTATCTTAGTATGAAACAGATGTGTGTAATTTTTCTTCCAGACGTGTTTTATCCATTACTTTCGATTTAACATATAGATTCAATATCGATTCAAACTTCTCTTTAGATAAGGGTTAATGCTGTGCTGTTCAAGTTCGTAAGTAATAAATATCCGGATTTTTCTAATGAGTTTTTACATGTATACAAATAATTTCTTTAGCGTATTTATGCATATCTCCTTTAGTAGTAATATACCATCTGACCCAAACCACGTGGTTTACGCATTATATTGATCTAATGTGCAAGTTATTGGTGGTTTTAGTATAAAAAACTCTTATGAGGAGGAGGGACTGAAAATAACACTTAACACGTTCCACAATGACCATTTCGAAATGATATATTGTTACAATTTCTCAACATACTAGTTCTGAATAAAAATAAAAATAGATATTGGGTATGCGTAAGTTAGATACAGTTCATAAATGACACTGATATTTGTACTGCGACATAGATCCTACATGTGCGCTATCGTCCATCTAGCTTAATAGTTTTATTATATTCGTACCTGTACTGTAATTCCGAATATTTCAACTGACATTGGAATAGAACCTTCATGTGTACCATACATCCTTTTTTTTACCAATACTAAATACCGGTTAAACAAGTGACCCCCTTCATTTTTATCACTACAGACGTCGATCATACTCATAGGTGTCTTCGTGTCTTATCTGAAAGTATGACAGAGCCGAAAGATACCCAAGGAAAAATCAAACACATAAGTCGAAAATAAACTTACAACGCCATGGCAAAAAACGCTAAAAATATAAGACAAACAACAGTATACAAAACACAACATAGAAAAACACAAGCCCCACAAGGTAGGGTAAGCAGATCCTGCTCTACATGTGGCACCCGTCATGTTTCTCATGCAAGCAAAAACCCGGTAATAAGCCTAATTCGGTAGTTCATAACCGAGGAAAAGACGACGGGGATTCTTGATAGATGTCTTGCATTTATTTTCGCTTTGATGTCTCATCGACGTATAGGTCAAATCCTTTTTGACTCAGTATGTCTGACTGTTACCTCTAAAATTAGGTAATGACAGTTTATATGTATTCTTAGATATTTTTCATATAGATCACAGTCACTTCCGTGAATTTAATTGGAGAATGAGAAGAAAAGCAAAAGATGACTTCGATGATTATCCATGTAGATCTGGATTTACAGCTTTTAGTAAGATTTGTTTCGTTTTTTTACTGTAATATTTATGTGCATTTTGAGTGTTTTCCCCAAACTTTATAGAACACTATGATTATGATAAATTAATATAGTTTTTATGTCTTGAAAAGTACAATAAAATGTATCCAATACAGTTACTTTATAAAGGAAATAGGGATTGATTACATTTTTGTAAGTTCAAAAACTTTTCGTATTCATACTCATCACAAATCGACGTATAGGTCAAATTCACATCTTTCCCATCATCATCACCGTTATCCAAAGAAAATCTATTTTAAAGAAGCCTCAAGCAAACAATGAAAAAATTTAACCTCAAATTATCTTAAGCATTCTTTTTTACTTTTAGATAATACATGTTATAAACTTGTCCATGAAGAATTGAACTGGAACCGAGCAATGGAAGAGTGTTCCAAAGTTTATGGCTATAAATATCACCTAGTTATTATAAAAAGTCAAGAGGAACAAAGTATGTGTATATATTTGTGACACTTTTGATACATCTTAACAGTATTAGTTTTATTACTATTTGTCTTTCATCTTCAACGATAAGATATTTGTACATTTTTGGGACGCGCTTTACACTGACAAGAAGTTTATTATAAAAATTGCACATTTTCGAAAATTAGGCTTTGACACACGTTATGAGTACATGTATGAAAGCTAAATACTATGTTTTTGATATGTATCAAGTACTTTTAATTTGGTTATGGAAAATTAGTAGGGAATGATAAGGAACCCACGTCCCCTCCAAAAAATCAAAAACAGAACCCCCCCCCCCCCCCCAAAAAAAAACAAAAATAAAAAACGTTGCCAAATTCTCGTCAAAGGTCAACGTTGCCTGAGATAGTTTGAACCTTCCTTTGTTAATAATTTTTTGATTAATGAAAGGGGAATTTCAAAGCGCTTCGGATGCAGAAGATTTGTAAAGTTATGTTTTCATTTTTTAAAAAGTATATGATAAAATCATGTAAGTACCGAATCACTGCACCCAGTGCTGATGATACCCTCGGGGCCTAACAGTCCACAGAAGCGGTATCGATCCAGTACTAGTAAATGCAATAAACTCTGATACATTTCGTTCATCCGAAGCGCTTTTCTAGATTAACCTTCATCAGGAACGCTCAAAGCTTAACATTTGAAAACCAAAGATTGGTAAATACGCTGAAACGATATGAGCTATGTGACGAAAAAAGACCTAAACAAAATAGTAAAATTAGTCTAAAGTCAACTTTGCATGAAGTAGTTGGAACGTTTGTTTCTTAATAATTTCTAAACGGAGAGGCAAAAGATAACAAAAGGGACATTCAAACTCATTAGTCGAAAAATTAAAACTGACAATGCCATGGCAAAAAACGAAAAACAAACAACAGCATCCAAAACACAACATCGAAAACCAAAGGCTGAGCAACATAAACCTCAAAAAATACTGTGGATGGTCACAGGTGATCCGGAAGGGTAGGTGTACCTTGCTCGACATGTTTTATCCGTCGAGTGGCTCATGTAAGTATAAACCGGGTGATAATCTCATTCGGTAGGTCACATTCGGGGAAAAGAAAAAGTGAATTGTGGTCACGACATCTGGAAAAGAGAGACGAAAGATACCAAATGGACATTCAAACTCATAAGTCTAAAACAAACTGACAATTCCAAGGCAAAAAAGAAAAACGACGAAAAGACATACAAAAGTATACAAAACACAACATAGAAAATTAAAGAATATATCCGTCGTCATCTGTGAAACAGATATACTATAACGGGTCAACTAATTCGTGATGGTATCTATAATAAGCTTATTTGGGAGAGGAGTCTTTTGAAATATTCCAATACAATTGAAACGTGGAGATGAGTTAACTTTTGGGTTTCATATAAAAGGCAGATTATAATTTTTCAATAAACATTTACTTTTTAGTTAATTATCACACATAATGAAGTATAATTTGATTCAAAGAGGGAATGCAATCTACTTGTAACTCCAATTTTTAAATATGTTGATTTGAACTGTTATTTAACAAAACGTAAATGGTCACTAAAAATTGCGTGGTTTACATTCATACTCGCAAATAGGAAGCTTATACAATTCTTACCATTTCATCGTATGTTGTGTCGTCTAATGTCTAAAACAATTAAGGGGTTATTTGATTCATGGGCACTTCGAAATATTTTAAGTTTGTAACAGAAAGATAATTTCTAACGCTCGTACAGAATCATTAAAAAAGTTATTATCATTCTCCAACATACACATACACCGTTATTAGAAATATATCATAAATTGTAGTATTGAACATCATTGATAACAATTATTGATAAGTAATCAGGGGTTTATGTATTCACAATTTTATTCATTAGAATACATTATTGGTATTTTACCATCTGTATAATATAAAGAATAAACATTTTAAGGAAGAAAACATAACATTTGATAGAATTGAAATATCAAATTCAAGTATAATTCTTACTGCTCCTTTGCTGGAGTTTTATGAATCTACCGGAATCTTTTGTAACAAATTCCAGGCATACGGTATCCTTTACAATGTTTTTCAGTTGACTAGCTACCATTTTTGAGGGTTGGCATTTGAGATTCTTTCTGTTAATTTTGCAGATTTTGTGAATAGACTTCTCTTGAATATTAGTTTCTCCTTAACAAGGAGAGTATGGATAGGCTTAGAAAGGCACCCGTTTAATCTAAGCTTGTTCCATTGGGTGGATGGATCATATTTAACATATCCCATGTATTCACATTGGTATAAGAAGAAGTCAACTGATGATCCGAATCCAAGTGAACCCAGCTTCGAACACGTAAGTGCCGGGCTGACTAAGTTAACCTGAAATGTAAAATAGGCATCAGTTATATCTGTACTGATTGATACTTTAGTGTAGGAAAACATGATTTATTTATGAGTTGTAATTGGCTTTGAACTAGCTTACAGTAACTGCGAGTTCCATTTAGCCTGTTTTTTTTGTGTTTATGTTCTTCTTACCAATTTATTGAGTTAGGCCATTTCCATCTGATGTTTACCGTTTGTTCTTATGTTGTGCTGTTAAATCACTGTCGCAGGTTAGGGTAGGGTTGAACGATCACAAACATGTTTAATCCGGCCAAATTATTGTTGTGCCTGTCCCAAGTCAGGAGCCTGTAAATCATTGGTGGGTGTTGGTTAATGTCTGTCACGGTTTTTTTTCTTCGATAATTTTTTGGTAAAACAACGATAACTATCTTTTCAATATTTGTTTTACCATTGTCAGTATAGATACGTTCAATATAATGACGTTAAATGAATATCAAGTGTAATAGGTGTCTAAAAAGATGATATTTTAAAAGATTATAGATTTTTTAACCAATATCCATACTATCACAATTCCTTATTCTGTAAAATTTTACATGTTTTTATGTTATTTGCATTTTAACATAATTGTGCTGTAATGATGATACAGTAACTAGTTTTATGTACCATGATCGTATTTGTTCAAGTGTGCTGATTTTATATCTGAAAGAATAAATAAAATTTCTCTCAGCAGAATATTTGTATAGTTGAATATTTTTTATTACTTAGAATTTAACAATACAAAATTGTCAACAAGTATTCCTTTTGTGCGCATCTTTAAGCGTTGACGAATTGACTAAATTTGTTGAATCAAAATCGTGTACCAAATATATTACAATCGGGATGCTATTTTCTTTCTACTGTTGATTTTCCTTTCAATAATAGTGATTTTCCTTTAGCTTCCTTTTGTGTGGTTGTTTTGTTTAAATTGTCTTACAAGAAAAAATATTAATTTTCTCATATCCAGAAAAGGGATTTATATTGATAGATGACGTAATGACAGTTCGGTAATGTTTTCGCCTTTGAATCATTACGACCCCTTATTTATTATACATTTACAATAAATCTTTGGTCCGTCTTTTATCAATATTGAATATGTGTGTGTGTACGTGATCATTAATTTAAATTTGAGTTTTTAAAAATGTGTTTTATAAGGATTCATGTACAACATCTACAATTATTTATGAAGTTTCATTGGCAATTATTCGACATCTCTTGTTAAGAAGCACAGCAAACATTATTCGAACCTTTTTTTTCTGTATCATATATCTATGTTTAAAGGTTATAAGAGTATGCTTTTTGTAGTATAAATGTGACGTCCAGTCTTTGAAATCATTACGCTTGTTTGCAGTTGGAAACGCAGTAATGTAGTTTCTGTTTTATCGTTTGATGTATTGATTTCCCCTTTGAATGCAGGATCATGTCACGTACACTTTAAATAACATTGCTGTTTACAATCTAATCGGGAGTACAGCGGTCAAATAACATTCAAATAAGCTTCAGTAAATGGGAGCAGTCTTTTATACGTCATCATTGAGTATGGATGTAATGTTTTTCACTTACTAGACCAATATTATATTAATTATTCCTTTTTGAACTAATTTTTTATTTATAGAACATACATCTACCAGTCTGAAACTAAGTTTTTTATCGTTTTAGTTCCGTTTCTTTAAACATTGGAGCAGAAATCAAATTAAATTTTACGTATAAAAAAAGGTTGTGAAAACAGTGTAATGCTACATGTAGTTAATCAAATTACATTTGCGTAATCCGTTACTTAATTCATATTGTTTTTCGATTTATTATAACATGGAAAATGATTACACTTATTTTAATATAAATTTGCGTATATTACAATCGAAGACAGTTTAATTTTACAGACCGTGTGAATACACCATGAAAGTTCATGAAAGGCCCAAGTATAAGACACAAAGGCAATCAATTTGATTTACCGACGTTTCTAAAAGAGATAACTGGCAGAAAGTTCAAACGCTAAAAAAAGATGTCTTCACAGGGGTAAATCACTTCAAGGGGGTAGCTAGAAAAACATAAGTCGAATAAAGACGACTTACATCAACCGTTCATATAACACTACACAGAAAACCAAAATTCAAGGAACGGAAACCCAACCATATCGGTGCAAAAAATACACCCTTAATTTTTCCATTGCGAAAAGAAAATTAACGTGTGCTCATCTGAAATCGGATAAAGGTAAAATTACTTCAAGGGGGCAACCAAAAAATATAAGTCGATGAAAGACACAGTCTTGAAAACACTACACAAAAGACTAAAGCTTGAGATTATTTCTAATCGAAATGCTTGGTAGTCATTGGGTATGAATATCTTATGATTTATAATTTTCAAAAACTAGGAAAGATGTTGCAACCTTTTTATGGAGAACGACAAACTTGGATACTGGAATGACGAAATATGTGAACAAGAATATTACTACATATGCGAGGGACCATCTGGTTCTGGTTTGTATGATTGCCAAAGCTCAAGTTCAAGCGTTTTAAAATTAGTTATATATTATACTACCATTTTACTGAAGTAATGATCTCTTATATCAGCTATAATTTAAGAAATAGCAATCACATCCGGGATTTAGTCCATTCCGCAAATGGAATTTGGGTGATTAAATAAGTTGCCATGCCTCAATTTGACTAAAGAAGTTAAAATACTAGAACCTGTTTCCACAATGATGTCTTCATACATATAAAAAATTCGGCATAAACTGTTAAAAGAGGGACAAAAGATATCAAAGGGACATTTAAACTCATCAGTAGAAAATACACTGACAACGCCATGGCAAAAAAAAAAGAAATAGACCAAAAGACAAAATACAGCATATAAAAAAACAACATAGAAAACTAAAGCAACATGAACCCCGTATATATCAACGAAATATCATAATTAGTACACAATAAACTGATCTGAATAACATAACAATTCTGCACTATTGTAAATATGTCTACACTATTGTAATCTACGTGGTCACCGCCCAACCTCGATAACTGAAAAAAAACGTGATCCTTTTCTTTATATACTACCCGCGAAATTCAAACCGGTTCTTTCAATAGAAACTACGTAACTAAAAATTACTACGCGTAGAGCACATAAATATATAACTTGGTGTACAGCTTCAGGAGCATGATAATAGTTAGACACATATACACATGATAAAAGTTTCTTAGCATTTATCTGGATCATATAAAGTAAGTCTCGCAATTTATACGAGGTAAATTTTCAAGTTTCATAATACTAAAATATCTTTTGATTTCCAAACGGCTCACTTTGATGCTAACATGAATTAGATATCACATTGCATTAATATTTCTATAGATATACATGTCCTAGTTGCAGATTGGTATGTTAGTAACCTTATGAGATGTATTTTTCTACTGATTGACGTGAAGTTTCAATCCGTCCAGAAGCCAGTGCTGACATGAATTCGATATTTCACCGTAATTTCATATTTAATTACCTGATAAAGGGTATTCCAGAGTCACGTGTTGTGCTGACTGATATCAGTTTCATATGTAATAATCTCACGTACTATCCGATTAAACATTTCGATCAAAAATCACTTCCGATGTGATTTTGGTATAGCGTGAAGATTATTACATGACCAGCAATAAAAGATAGGCGAAAGATACCAAAGGTATAGTCAAACTCATTAGTCGAAAACCAAATGACAATGCCATGGCAAAAAACCGAAAAACGACTTCAACAACAGTACAGAAAACACAGAAAACCAAAGACTAGGCAACTCGAACAAAGCGTACTCTGTCAACTTACCGGTCTCGCTCTGTTTGCTTTTTAAACGATTTGGAATGTTTTTCTTTCATCTTGAATTACTTGAATACTGACTTTGATATATTCCACAATACTTTATACTAAATAAATGCTTTTTCAAGTTAGCAATATGAATTTTATCATCATTTTATACAACCTGTAATTTGTTATATTTCCGGATCTTATCATTTTATATTCGAACTGATGTTTCCTTAAACTAATTGTACAATTTTATGCTTTTTTTTTAATTTCCAAGTAACACGCTGTGAATATCGTCGAATAACACAAATCAGTTAAATGTTAAAACATTAATTGTATATTATATTGAATATAGCAAAAATAGATGCACGGACACATTTCTGAATTCACAGTAAAATCGGTTTCAGACATAAATTCAAACTATAGAAATTTGACACACGTATATCAAGATAAAAATGTTCGTGCAGCAAGTGACTTACCTATGGGTAATGAAAGTCTTAATCAGTGTTTCTTCTCTTTAAAAGTAGATATAATTATGCTATATTAGAGGCAACAGTAGTTTATCAATGTTCAAATTTCATAAATCCAATAAGAAGATACAAATCAAAGTAAAAAAAACCAAAAACTGAGGGAATCGCATGAACTCCAAAAGGAGCGAGACCGGATGCGCCGATAGAGTAAGTGTCTCCTGCATCACCACACACATTTAAAATATCACAATCAGGAATAGGATACAATCAGTAAATCTAAAGATCCAACGACTATTCTGGCATCTAAAGATCTGAGACAACGTACTATTAAACATCGTCGCTAGTGACACGAATATATCAAATCGGTCAACCAATGCGGGATGGTGCTCGTCAGTATGGGAAGTTACATTTTTGAAGTGTTAAACATGGTTTTACGTGATGTCATTTTTCAACAAATCTACGATGATATCAACCGAGGATAAAAAAATTGAACCCTATTATTCATTTCATACATTATTGTCACATATAAATTTTACATTAAATAGCAACTTGTATAACTGTAATAGTTATTTATTCCAGTACATTTAATAATACGAGAAAGTACAAAGGAAATAACAACAGAGTTTTGATCGTACTGGTCTGCTGTGTTACCATGGTATTTTGGATTATAATGACCGACTGACCAATTGAGGGGACACCGAAATGAATGGAAAGAACATATGCAATAAGCGTTCGTACAGAGAGCAGCATTGCCAAGTCAGCATATGCAAACCTAGAAATTAAACTGATATTAACTGCTTATTGCAAATTTTGCTTATGTCTAACCATTCTGATGCTTAGCAAAACCATTTTATTTAGACGCTCTTACTTGTTTTTCTGGCTTTATTTGTTTATTTGTATAGTTATATGTTTATCATGTATACTTATGGAGTTAGAACGCTCCAATATGTGCTAATTTGAATATTTCTTTTAAAAATAACCTCCTTTATAATATTTCGTGAATTTGCAGTTCAGTTGATAAGCAACATTAGTCTTGATGTTAATGGACAATTATCGGCCATTGAAGGAGGCACTTTTCGTGTTCGGTGTGAGGCAACACCAGAGTCAGTTTCAGATGAAGTGGTATATAAATGGACATTGAATGACACAGAGATAATACCATCACCATCGTCCCGATTTCAAATAGATTCAACAGCCAATTTTTCAGAACTTTCATTTAAAAATACAAACCAAAGAGATAGAGGTAAGAGAAAACGTAGTGTGCATAACATTGTCCTCATAATCTCTCCCTTGAAATACATTCTACATGTTTCGTAAAATGAATGTAGATGATAAGAAAAACACATAAAACAATTGAATAAAAAATCAGAAAATGTCTTAATGATTTAATCGATATCGTCATAAACTATCAATCAAAACAGATTGTATATTTTTGTTTAAATTTCAGTTAAATCAAAGTGTTTATCCAATGTTCAAGATGAAACATAAATCAATTCATGATCAATGGAAATGAATTTGATTCTCAAAAAAATCTTTTCCAACTCATCTGTATTTAATAAATATCTGAATGATGCATTGGTTTGCACTATCAATTAGAAAGGTTATACATGTATGCATATATTCGTTTAAATTACAGGTAATTTAACGTGCATAGCCACTGTTCTAGATGAAACTGCAATGTCAAGTGTAGATATCGTAGTTTACTCTCTAAGGCTGGTTGCCATCCCTGAAACAGTTGTGAAAGGAAACGGAACTGAAGTTGTATGCGAACTCATTCCCAATATCACCCATCAGTTAAATACTAACTTCACACTTTCCGGAATTGGTATAGATGGTAAGTGCTGCAACTGCCAAAAATGTAATGCGTTTTCAATAATATATCAAGAATAAATTTTAAAGTTACAATGCAGTTTTAAATTTGCCCTAACATTATTCCGGTATATGTGTTCAGGATATAAAAAATGAATAGCGTACGTGATGAGTTACTTTAGCAACAAAACTTGATTGAACTACTATATTTTATTTTTATTTAATTTCTTTGTTTTGTATAATTTTACGTCCGTATTGAAAACGTATCGCCACATCAAAATAACAACTTTATAATTGTCTGAATTATGTATTGACATGTACAGATGTAGCTATTAGAAAGCTTATCGAACAGTTTCTGTTATAATTTTGCTACTTCCAACGTACGTTGCAACCAATGAAATTTTGATGGAAAACAGAACACAATCATCATTGTCCTTCATCATCTTGAACTTTGTGCATATTGTGGCGTAATAACTTTGTTAATAACATCTAATTCATTTACATATTTTGATTTTATGAGCAAAAATGAAGTAGTTCTATTTTTTCTTACCTAATATGGACCTGAATATCTATAATTCTTTACAGTTTCTTACTTCAACTAGTATAAATAGAGAGTATTGTAAAATATATCAACATGTGGACGCAAAACTAATTGTGCTAATAGCTATATATGCTACAATCATAAATCTTAAATATTAAAAATTCATTCATATTCGAAAATTAAATATTCGAAATACATTCATATTCGAAAATTAATTTGCTGAACTATATTTGCCAAAATCCGCGTCATTTGAACTCTGTTGGAACGTTGTGTCATTGACTTGTTATACAACATGTACTGTATATTTATTGAAATTATGCTAGCCCATTACATGATGAAAGTTTTACAATTTAAGGCTGATTCATCGGGAAGCAATTTACATAGATCCCATTACAATAGACTTCTGTTTGATCTAGATAAAGTCAACATGATGAAGGTTATGTACCATATTATCAATCAGTAGATATTAATTACACTACCAGTCACTTAAAATTAGATTCATCGAATATAGCGAAATAACAAAGAGTTATGTCGCTACTCAGTTACGCTTTTTTAAACAGAATACCCGTTTTTATTGTATGTTTATAATCCTCATTATTTAACTGTCGTACACTACGAAGTTGGTATACTAATATTCAGAGCGTTTTATTTACATTTCCGTTTATTTATTATTATCAATCACTATTGTACAATCGTTATTATTTATTATGAACACTTGATAGAATAAAGTTTAGAAAAATGAAAAGGGATAAAAGAAAAATTGGGAGGTCTCGACCAGCCAAACTTATAGCTTTTTTATCATGCTATTCAGGTTTTCATAATTTTTTTCATAGCTGGAAGTCAAGTAAAATACCAAGATGGAGTAAAACTCAATATCATTGAGCTATTGGACAGTACCACAATCAGATGTGAAATGCAGCTACAGGGACAGTCAAGCTATTTAAAAACCATCCATATTACGGTTTTTGATGCAGGTACGACATTAATGGATAGTTTAAACACTGCTGGTGTTTTATTGTCACCACTTGTCGAAGATTCACAATGTTGTGTTAATGCAAATAATACCCTATAAATTTTATTCGTCCGAATCATTTTTCTGGATGATTAACCTTCTCCAGGAACGTTTAAATCCAAAACAATAAAGACAAACGAACGGGTCTAAATAACTGAAAACGTTAGGAGCTACCTGAACAAAATAGACCTGAAACTACCCTAAGATCAGCTTTGGCAATGGAACAATATGGCAGTTGTTATCAAATAGTTCTTTTCTATACATGTTGGCGTTTGTTTTTGTTGCACTTCAGTGTTCCTATTGTTCGTTTGTTTTCCTCTTATAGTTGATGTGTTTCCCTCGGTTTTAGTTTGTAACCCGGATTTGTTTTCTCTCAATCGATTTATGATTTTTGAACATCGGTATACTACTCTTGCCTTTATTTGTCTTTGGGATGGAGAGCCTTAGTTTCTTAACAATTTTTAATTTATCAATGGAAAATTGAAAAGATCAAATACAATGAATCATGTTTGTACCAAAGCCGGTAATGACTACTGATATGGTTAAACCATATGAATTTCTGGATTTACCTTCATAGGAACTATCAAACCGAGACATTTGAAAGCCAAGACATGTTTTAAAAATGGTTGTTAGTTTGTCAGTTTATCCATCTGCATTGGGTCACTTTTACTTTTACGTTTAATGCAAAGCAATATCAAGCCACACACGAATGAGTACGTAGGTCTTTGAAAGAAATTACGGTGCACAGTAAATCTGTTTAACGTTTACCCAATCATGGCATATTTCACTCCCGTGTACGTGTGTGATAGGATATAGGTAATTGAATGCAAGAACTTTCATATTTTTATTAAAAAATAAAAAAAATAATCAATCCAAGCATTGAAAAACCCAAATTCCAAATGTTAATGTCATTATATTATGCCTGCATGGTGTTGTAAAACCCCGTGTTGTAAATAATTTTAGTTTAAATGAAGAGTTAACTGATATTTCACGTTTTGCACAGAATTGCGGACTTCCATGTAGTGAACTAGTAGTACCAACAGATTTTTACTTTTTATTGCAGATATATTATTCTGTGCTGCTGAAACAGACATATACACTTTTGGTACACACAATTTGACTTGGAAAGAGACAAACGTGGGTCTTACAGCATTCTCTTCATGTCCTGAAGGATTTGATGGTAGGATTAACATTAAACTTGTATTTATGATCTATATTGTAATATCCTATTCCAATTAACAGTATCGCATAATCGACATGGCATTTTATTACGAATATAACAGTTGCTCTAGGTAATTAATACATTTTGTATTTGTCACAGCTGTAAGCTAGAAAGATTAGAAGAACTACTAGTGTTGGCGTGGCATCGAATTTGTATATGTATATGAAAATAAGGAGATGTGGTATGATTGCTTATGAGACAACTATCCACCAAATTTCATGTAAAGTGGATGTAAACAATTAAAGGAACCGTAAGGCCTTCAACAATGAGAAAAACCACTACCGTATAGTCGATTTTGAAAGGCCCCGACATGAAAAATATGAAACAATTCAAGAGCCTAATTTATAACAATACTATTTACGAAAGACAAATATACCAGACATGAACAAACGTCAATGCATGAAAGTCCGATATTTCAATAACTGTATATTTTTTTTAAAGAAAATGTTCTTCAAATTGAAATTAATGAAAAATAAATCAACGTAACTTATAGAACGTTGTATGTATGAAATTCTTTGGAAGCCTTTTGGAAGGCACGTTGCAGTTTTTTCCAACAAATGTAATGATTTATCTACCCTAGCTTTGAAACAACTGTAAATTTGTTTTTATCAACATGATAGTTCATGTTTATTTAAATGATCTTTCGATGTATCTTGGTTTAATTATCTTAATGGCAGTCTTTAAAACTGTTATTGTTTGCTTGATGATATTAATTTTCCTTTCAAAAAGTATGTTGTTAGGCGATTGGTAATCAAATTGATTGGTTGTTAAAGAAGATTTGTTATTTACTTTTATGAATATGACAAATCATCTTTCGGTAGCATCGAAACACTATTTGATCGACATTTTTGTAAATGAATGATGATATTTAGGCAAAATAATTTTAATACATTTTCTTGGATCAAAACATGGAAAAAAATCGAATGTCGAAAGTAATCTTCATACTTAAGTGAATGATGTCACTATGACAGCATCCACATGTCTAAAATTAAATTTGACAAATACGCTATATTAAACATAGTTTTAGAACAATATATATATGATCTTTAGGGATATGTTTCTGCAATTGTTTTGCATCAAAATTTATGTTTATGAATGACCTTCAACATTGCCTACCTTTTTAATTATTAAATGTCTTAATGACATGAACCTTTTATCTTCTTTTTAAATATGCCTTGTAATAACACACACATACACACACACACACACACACATAATAACACTGGATTAAAATGTATTTCTCTGTAAGACTATCTGTTCGTTGTCCTGACACAAACCACCCTTTTTGTTCAATGTTGATATTATTAAAACTGAATGTGAAGTGTATTTTTTGAAGGTGTGGTTTCACGCAAATGTAATCTGAAAGGCAATTCCGGGGTGTGGGAAACATCAAATGTAACTAACTGTGAAAGACGAATCTTCAGGAACCTCATAGATCAAGTAAGAAAAGAATCGAACAAGAAGACACATTTTTAGTTTTCAATTTAATTGCCTTTGTCATTTTATTTCTGGAAATAGGTTATTTGTATTGTAGTTTAGTCATCATGAAGAGCTTTCTAAGATATAGAAAAAAACTTGACGATATTAACTCATGTGCTTGTTAAGACCTACCAACAAATGTGCAGTATTTGGCCACAGCCTTCATATTGTCGTTTCCAAAAAGCTACATATCGCATTTAACCAATCTAAAACTGTTTATATATTTAGTGCCAACAGTTCTCTGGCAACCGAACTGCCAATGAAATATTATTAAACATAACACCGTAATGATCTAACTGCAAATATGAGGTTACCTCATATCGCTTAATATGCATAATACTGATAAATTACTACTACAGATAAGGGTAATTAAGAAAGTTTGAAATAGTAGGGAACCGTGGGAACACGGGTGATGGGTCAAAACCCTTACGTGGTTCATATGAAGTGATTGATTGATTTTTGATTGCTTTACGTCGCATCAGCACAAAAAAGCTATATCGCGACGAGGTCTTTCAATTTACTAAAACTTTAGTTTAAAGTGAAATAACTCATTTATGTAGTGAATACTTTTTATAGAACTAAATGTTTGATGAATGCAAATCACAAGCAAATTGAATTCAAAATTGTTGTTTGAAAGTCATCAATCTGACGCTTTCACCTGTTTATTTGACCAAATACATGTAAATGGTCAGAAACTGCAAACTGAAACATCAACTGAAATGATAAGATAAATCACAACAGTCACTATAACTCAAATGCGTTTTGTTTACAACCAATATCAATTTATTATGAGGGAGGGCGAGTATGTTTTTTTAATTTTAGTTCAATTGTTCAATAATTTTTCTCAGATCCAAATTAAAAAAGGATCGTAATTCCATAATGTTTTGTTCAGTAACAACCAATTATATAGAGACTCACTAACAATACACAAAAACCACCATAATGGTACAGCTCAATATATAACAGATTTTGAATACTAGACTTCAATTCTATTATTTAAAAAAGTATGCCCGTGTAGTTTTATAGGTTTACATTGCATTAATTATTAGCGAATGGTTGTGTTAACTTTATGTCATTTCGCAAATTCAAGGATTATCAAGCGAGACAAATTGAATTGAATATAAATGAAATAATTGGGATGAGTCGTACTGCCAGGCGTAAGACACATATTTCCATACTCCAGTCACCTGTAGGTTATGATTAATTTTTCAGACAAAAACTAAAACAAAAACAAACCAATGAAAAATACTAGAACCTAAAATCTTTCCAAATATCACAAGGTATTCCTCTATTCTTCTTGTACATGGATTAGTGATTCTTAATTAATGTAGCACTGTTTCTGTCAATGATATTTATCCAGATAAAGGTTAATCCAGTAAAGCGCTTCGGACGTATGCATTTTTTTCGATACACGAAAAATAAAATATATAATATATTATAATATTACCAGGTATAGACAATATATATTATAAAACATGAAAGTTCCTTTGCATTAAAAGTATTTAGTAGTCTGAGTAAACAAATACTAATTTTTGGACAGAAGGAATAGTGCTCAAATAAGCATCACGTTTAAAGTGCATGCACTGTTTTTTTCTAGACACAGTTGTATACGGGAAACATATTTGTTAAAAGGGAATAAAGAATGATATGTATATAATAAAAGTTTTATCTGCATTAAATCTTTCAAAATTTATTAGAAATAACCGTTTGGGTATTAAAGGGAAATGACAAACCGAGTATTAATACCATGAATAATGATTATTGTGAAATGAATATATGGCAAAAAGAGAATAAAGTTTTAAACAATTAAAAAGATTTGCAAATAGATAGAATCTCTCTCTCTCTGATTGCCTATTTTAATGGGATGACTTCTTTTTGAAAAAATTATGTCCTAATAGACTTCAATATCATAACTACTTATATATGTATCGGATAAACTTCAATCTAAATAAAAGAAGATGCATAGTATCCACCAATGAAACAGCAGTAACCACAACCCCCCCCCCCCCCAGAAAAAATGTTAAGAGGTTAACATACGGTCTTCAACAGTTAAAAAGTATCTATACCATATATCAAGCTATCTAAAATAGTTGATGAATTAATTTAGTGTAAATGTGAAATATCTTCCACAAAAACCAAAATTCATTAAAAAAAATTTGAAAAAAAAAAACCCCAAACCTGCCTACCCCCACTCAAAAGTATACCAATTTCAAGCCCCCAGAAAAACATTATAATCAATCATCAACTAGGTTCTGAATATAAGCATTGTGCAGAGTTTAGCTAGTTTTGCTGAAACCTTACATTCTCATGTTGATCAATGTGTTGCTTAATAAATTGCCTCTTACTTATAGTTTTATTTTTTTAGTTGGAAAGTATTAATGATGGATTTCAAAATGTGTCAATCGAAGGGATCCTCAGATCATTTTCGAATACTACAGATTCCTTGAACAACCAGTCTTCTTTAATAACAGGAGATATAAACAGTGGAGTTATAATTCTGGAGAAAACAACTGGTCTTTTTTCTTCACAAAGCAGAAATATTTCATTTTCAGAAACAGAGGTAAACATTCTCTTTAAAAGATATTCAATAAAACATTTGCCGTATGATCTTAAAAAATGTATAAAGTCGAAATAAAATAAAATTCCGCAAAATTTCATGAATGATTTTGGCGCATTAACGTCATGTCGAAACCTGACGTCATACGAATGAAAACTCTCAAGCTGAAGATTATTCCGTTCGTGTTCGCTCTAAATTCGGATAATATCGCGGAGTTTTGAGGTAGGCGTTGTTTCATTTTCTATTATATTGCATCATTCGCATATTCAAGGATTTCAGAAAGTCAACATGGCGGCTCACTCCTTCGTTACGACATGTCAACTGTTGATTTGATAGTAAATAGCAGCCAACGAAAAAAAATGTTTGGGTTAAGAACTATAAGGATTAAACACACTTTATCTAGTGGTTATTTAAGAAAAATTCATGCAAGCCTAAGATTTATTTGAAATTTATAGCTTACAGGGGTTTAAATAAAACAGCCATACACACGACAATCTTACTTTCGCTTCAATTTTCAAATTACCGTATTTGTCCTATTAGAATCGAAATAATTCATGCAAGCCATAGATTTGTTATCATTTTCAACAATTTCCAACAAATCTATGGCTTGCATGAATTATTTCTTAAGTCACTTCACATTAACAAATCACTAAGAGATGAAGTATCCTTTAATCGTTTTAATTTGATCTATATCATATAAACAAGTCTTAGGAATTTATCATTTTTTATGTACAAATATATATCTGTGTTCTAATTAAGCTTTATATACCTGACTTTTATTCAGTGTGTCTCTAACGCCTTACATTTACTGATTTATGTTCACGTGCATTCATTAGAAAATATTGACAAGTATACTACAGGTGTTGAACACAATATGACTGTATGCATTACTGCGACATGTATTTTGCAAGAATATAATTCAGATTTTTTATATATATATTAAATTTTGGATGTAACACGTTTTCTGATTGGCTGAGAGTTTTTTGTCTTTCAGCTCATAGACATGGTGTCGTGTGACCGTGACGTCATCAACTTTTTTTCATGATTTAATCCTTAAAAATGGAATTAAGAATTAAATTATAAGGAATGACTGTAATATGTTTTTTGTCTATTTTCAATAACCTCACTTTTAAATAAAAGGCTACGCGGGTTATTCAGTGTGCACCATATTTTTAATGTTATTTCTTCATAGATAGAAAATAATACAGTCATCCCTTTTATAACTATTGCGTTTACGTGCCAGAATAATGAAAACTCAAATGCTGTGAAAAGTCTTGAACATGAAAATTGTCTTATAAAAACAGAGATAAATCCGATAACTGACATGAAAAGTGTAAACATTTGAAATAGCAGTTATGATTTCTTTTGATAAACTAGTAATTTTATTCTTTGTATATTACCTTAGGATATCTTGGAAATCAATTTCATTAGAATATTGAAACAATTATATGTTTATGACACAATTCGATTTCTGGACTACAATATCACCTCCCCTTTCGTTTGCTCTAAATCAAATAATTTGCAATTAACATATAGAGAATTCAAATTGAATAAAAATAGAGGCTGGATAATGTTTTATTTTTCAAATCGGCAGATGTAATATGATAGTTGGTTCCAACTTTACAGTCACAAGTGAAAACAGTGTACTATGTTAAAACAGGTTAATTCAACTTTTCTCAAATATCAGTTTTAGTACTAAGTACAAAGTAAAGTTGTCTAACAATATTGTTTTTTTGTAAATGTGTGTGTACCGTACTGCACTTCCACCTCTGTTGATTTTAAAACTCCATGCCTGCCACTCTTGTTCATAGTAATTGATTGTATACAGAAAATGTCGTTTATGTTACATTCTGTTTACTCTTTGAATTATCATAACTTTTGCAGATATTAAATCTGTGAATAATAAAACTTGGACAAATGTGTCTCTAAATAACTTTTTTCAATACTTTAATTTGTTTTCACATTTTTCAGCAGGCAGGTCACGATACATTTTTAGCAATACCAGTTTTAAAAAACAAAAAAGGTAAAACAGTCTTTAATTTCAATATTCTGTTGGCACACAATTGGAAGGTACAACCTTAATTTGGTTTAAAAGATGTACATGAAGAAATATTATAGAAACATTGATCGAATAAAAGAACCTGCACAAAGTGTGTATACAATACATTTAATACAAATATATGGGTTTGTCTTAATTTTCAGGCTTATCTGTCAGCTACAAGTACATTATTGTCCAGTGATACGGCAACAGATTTATGGCAAGAGGTATCTATTAAAACTCATCAAACTTATGATAGTATATGGCAGACGTTCGTTTCGTCTATAAAAGACTCATTATTTAAACTTTTATTTTGTATTTGTATAAACGACTCTGTAGATAATATTACCAGCATAATTATTATCAAAATAAACCACAGATCACCTGATTTTATATAGAGTCACATCGAACCATGGGACCCTTTTCAATGTATATTTACTGGAACTACAGTTTAAATATTAGTAAATGTTATTTTGAAAAATAACTTGGTAGTAGTGTCTTTCATTACAGATGATTTTATGTTAAACTTTTTAAGTAACTTGTAATGTCAAGGCCAATGTCATATCATCTTTGAATAGGGTGAAAATTTTATATTTGAAGTTTTGTATTAAAAACCGTCATTTTTAAAAATTGTTTGTTTACAAATATCTGTTTATATCATTTTCGAAAATCTATTATTACTCAGACCAAACTAATATCGGTTTGTTTTAAATAATTTGATTATAGAAAAAGACAACAACATATTTACAGATTTTAAATGTTCACCAAAATGTCACAGTTTAATATTTTTACCATTCTTAACCGTACAACAATTATATTTTTAAAGTAATACATCACTGGATGCAGGCTGTTAGATATGGTGAAATATATAAGATACCTATAATCATGATTATTAAGGATTGAGAAATTATGCAAATATGGCCAAGAAAAAAACAATTGACAATTATATATATCATGACAATTTACTTATCGAGTTTGTCATTGTTAATTTCTCTTTTACAGGTTGGAGATAATAACGCTGCTAAAGTTTTGAACATAACATCAACTTTTACGGGTGTTGCATTTGAATCATATCAAAACAATACACCATTGAAAATCTCAAGACCATCTTTGGGTAATTGAGATATATGTACATAAATGTATGAGCATTAGGTGTTTGACTATAATATAGATTGTATTGCTGTATTGCCGCATATTAAAGAATAAAATACAGACGGTTGGTCAAATATCTACTCTAAGAGAAGACCGATTTAGATCACGACATCTTGATTTAAATATATCAAGATTAATACAGATTTAAATCTGTTTCAAGTGAATAGGATAGTAAAAGCGAATGATGAAATAATTTTTTAACGAAAGGCTTGAACAGATTTTCATAAAAACATGCAAAGCTGTAATATATTTCAGATGTGATTATCGTATGTATCAAATGAAATATAACTTTCACCTTTTGTGAGTATTGATAGAGTTAATATGCATTGAAAGATTCCAGTATTTTTTTGTTATTTATAAATGTAATTAATCTAAGGAATAATATAAACTAAACACAGTTAACGCATGGACCATTACTTAGGTTCACTTATTGAGGAATTGTGGAGATACAAAGTCCAATAAATACTCGAAATCAATATGAATTATATTAGATAGAACAAAGTTTTTGCACGCAGCAGGTAATTGAATAAGAAATTTGGATAACGTTACTTACAGATTAGGAAAAGCCTGCTATAAAAAATTAAAGAAAGAAGACCACACTGCATGTACTTTTCGTTGTTCAAATGTATTATGAGTGTTCAGAGAAATAACGAAAGGCGAAATATACAAGAAACTTTCATATTGTCTATCAATCTTGTTATTCTTATATATTATCAATGATTTTTAAATTTTATTGTATCAGGATAAAAAAACTACTTAGTGAATTTCAAAATGAAAGCATTTAAAATATTAAGCGAGTTACACTGTAAATGTATTTAGTAAGAAATCAAAGTAAACACAACAACCATCAAAAGCTACATAATTTTAAACATGGGTTAATTATAATCGTTCACCATTATCAGTTGCTATATACTTTAACGATTTTGGAATTTTGTAAGTCACCTATACTTTTTAGATGTAGAAATAAACAAAAACAACGAGGGAAACATCACTTTCCACGCGTTTGATCAACCACTTGGCAAGGACGACCGTCTTTTCTTAGCAAAGGAGAGTTTGAGAGGTAAATGTTTGATTGTTTCGAGTCATCGGGAAGTGTCTCATTAACGAATACCTCCACCTTTTATTTCATAAAATATGATGTTTTAAATCAAGGTAATTTGTACCTGTCTTTCGAATCGTATTCTTCATTTATATAAAATATTTGAATTTATTTACTAATCTCAAAAATAAATATTCAAGTTTTAAAATAATATACTATAGTATTTCAAGAAAAATATATGATTTGCATTTACATTAAATCTTTTTTATTATGTGCAATGAACTACTATGGTATAAACCATTGGGGAATCATTAACTTTAATTAAACATGTTGTTAAAGATGATTTTAAAAAGAAGATCACCTGATTGTTTGTAATCTTTATACATTTCAAATCAATTTTGATCAAATGTCAGTTTTTAATGTTTGTTGTATATATATGTATTTGTAGAAATAACAAATACCACAGGATACATTGCGATTCATTACAGTACAATAGCACAGTTATTACCAAGAAAAACAAGGTAATATTTATTAAAAGTATTTTGTTAATAACTTTATAGTCCTTTATCTTGAAGCATTACTAAAACATTATAGATGTGTTGTTTTAAGCTTGGCAAACTATCTTTTTTTTTGTACTGTTCATGATATTCCTTCTTGAAATGTTTTTTGAAGTACAGTAAACTAGAGGCGAAGGATACCAAAGGGACATTCAAACTCATAAGTCGAAAATCAACTGACTACGCCATGGCTAAAAAAGAAAAGACCAACAGTACACAAAACACAGCATAGAAATCCAAAGATTGAACAATAAGAACCTGACCAAAAACTGGGGGTGATCTCATGTACTCCGGAAGGGTAAGCAGATCCTGCTCCACATGTGGCATCCGTCGTGTTGCTCATGTTAGTACAAGCCCGGTATTAAGTCTTATTCGATAGGTCACATTCGGGGAAAAGGGGACTGATTGTAGTGACGACAATTGGAACATATCTGCTATCATCTGTGAAACGGATATTTCATAACGGTCAACCAACTCGTGATGGCGTCCGTAAAGGGATGATTTCAACTTCACCACTTGGAACTCTAGGTTTAATAGCTTTCTTGTGAGCAGCAACCCTCTATCAAGGAAAACATGATAGGAAATACAAACCCTGGAATGTCGTATCATTCTGGGAGATATATACTCCTTATGCAGGCGCTGCTGGAATGTTGCTACATAGAAAAGGAAAGTTCACAATTTGGAAGCTGAAATCATCTCTTTTGTCGTATATTTTTGTTTTCAACCGACCCTCATTGTCAATTTCTAGATGTAAGTCAAGACTGTATTTGTTGTATCCTTTATCTGAAGTTCAATTGGATAGATGCGTTCAACATAGTCACCAAATTTTGAATTATTCAGTGAGAGAACATCATCTATACAGCGAAACGTGAAGTTAAAGGATACTGCTAACTTATTTTCTTTCTTCTTAAGTAGTTTATGTATGAAGTCAGCCTCATATGAATAAAGGAACAAGTCGGCAAGAAGAGGGGCACAGTTGGTTCCCATGGGAATAACGATAGTTTGTTAAAAAAACACGTCCTCCAAACGCAACAAACATGTTGTCAATCAAGAAATCAAGTATCTGGATAATGTCAGTTTCAGAGAATCTTTTGTTTGAGTGAGAGTGATTTTTTACAAAGTAGGATTTATCCCTACCTAAGACAAGATACTTGTATAAACGTTGGCCATTCTTTTTTATGAAAAAAAGCAGAACCAACTCTTTCAATTTGTCTTTTAGTTTGGAATGGGAAATACTTGTGTAAAGTATAAAATAGTCAAATGTTTTAATACTATTGCAAGATGAGAGAGTCTTAGATTGTATTTATTCTAAAAGATCTTTGGAATATTTTAGTATCCACATCTGATTCACTCCACCTCTAGAATGGGTAGTTTCACAATAACTTTGAAGCCCTGGTTTGATTGCTAATAAAATTGATGTTAATAATTTAGAAAGAGGTTTCGTGGAGCACTTGGAAGACCCAGCAATGTAAGGACACTTATGTAATTTAGGTATCAAATACTGTGATGGAAGATCCAGTTCTCCATCTTTAGTTGAAATTCCAAAGGAACATAGAACAGACCTATGATTATCCAGGATTTGCTAGAAATCGGCTGTTTGATTATTTATTTGCGCGAGCAGAACTGATTAAAATATGCCATTAATTTTGTTTTATCTGTTATACAGTTTATATGTTTGTTTATTGCCTTTCCTATACAGATTTGTGTTGTATGTTCTGTAATGTAGGATTAAGATATGAGATATGAACCCCGCTACATTTCGTGTGCGTGACAAAAAAAGATCGTCAGCAGTTGGTGAATGTCATGTCTTTTTTGTTATTTGGAGAATTGTGTGTCGATGGCAGATCTTTTATTGCTGATGTAGAATATATTCACAATTTGTAAAGACAATGGACGATCATAAGATTAATACTTTGTAAAGACATTTGTTTTTTGTTGAATAAATCGAAAAATAACACTCCCTGGTGGAATTTATATTTAATCTTCAAACCATTATCTGACAAAAGCAAGAACATTTTTCGATTGCGTCCGACTTGATACTTGCTGATATTTAGCCAAACATTACCAGGAAAAGGACAACACGCTTTCTATTTCCCTCATATTCTATATATTTTTGTTTTGCCTTAAGACGTCGAGGCTAAATAATTTATCATACAACACAAATTTACAAATTGAAATTGATATGTGTATCATTTGACCTTCTTCTTACGGATAAACGAACTTGTTTCTGATACATTCTTCAAATTGGAGTCAACATCTATTGTGAAGGAGGCATAAGAATCTATATCTTATTGATAGTTCAGGGTTTTCCCCTGTTTAAACATATATTTCATCTTTATCAGCATTACTATATTTTACATCTAATTGCTACCTTCAAAAAAATTAAGACTTTGTATACATTCGCTGAGATGGAGGAAATATATTTGAATTTTTGATACGGTCACAATGTAAATTAATCATTTCAATCTTTTTGAGTTCAACATGAAGTCTATTAAAGTCGTTTTTTTAGAACAAAAATGCTTTAGTAATGGGAAATCAAATTTTTATTATATAGTGTCGATAATCAGGAAATTACAGTGATAACGTCAGTTCTGTCACTTACTTTACCAAGAATCAACCAGTATCGTCTGAATCCACCATTATATTTATACTTCAAATATGATCAGGTAATATAGAGAATATCATATTTAATAGATACATTTTTTTTAAATGTTAAAAGTTATATGCGGCATGAATATATCAGGAGTTGACTCGGTTCTAGGTAAAGTCACTCACGAATTTCCTGGAATATATTTTCAATCTCACATCTTGGCTTCCTAAATTTGTCTCACGTAAAGTATAAGATGTACTATTTTTTTCAATGCTCATAGTATGGTTATATCAAATGAAAAAAAAAAACCCAAAAAACTATGATATAAAAGTTAATCCCATTTACATAAAAAGAACATCTGTTACAATGCTTAACCAAGCATGATCGTTTCGAAGATTTCCCGTTTGACAATTAATTAGTTCATTATTTATAATGTTAATAGTCGAAAAAAATTTGTTTTTGCAGATTCATGACGAAGGAGCAAGATGTTCGTTCTGGGATTACACTGTGGAGTAAGTTTTAGATTTCTATAAGTTAATCTTTATATGAGGTAGACGTTTAAGCAAAATAAACAAACACTCAGATATATCGATCACTGTTATGAATCAATTTTATAAAGACAACTTTTTGAATCAAAAATAATGAATATAAATTATAATAAATTATATTACCAGTACAAACTTTTCGACAATTAGTTTCTCTTCAGTAATAATCTAGGTCAAAATATTTGAAAATGAAAACCCAATACAACTGTTGAAGATATTATGAAACCAAAAGGCCCATAAATTATAGCTTAGTGCGTACAAAGAATCAGAGCCTAGCACAAATCTTACAATATTTAGTGTAATTCAAAAAGAATAAAATATGAAAGCGAAATACAGATATCATGTAATGTATTGCTAATTGTTCAGGTTAAAGGAGACAGTGGTTTTGAGATGAAGGACAGCAATCAGGAATCAAAGTGCTGTTCCTTTGCTTTTGGTTGATTCAAGTGCGTGTAGAGATCATGTGTTTAATACACTATGTGTATACTTTTCAAATCGAAAGGGGTAAATCAATCTGAATCGTATCAACTTCAAACAGAGTGTGTTCACGTCCAACACTTAAATATCACTGTAATTATTCTTCATATGAATCAAACATCTTTTTTAGTTGAAAGCATCTAAATCAGGAAAATGACATAATCTAAAATAAGGTCTTATGCACCATGTTGAAATGAACGATCAATGTATGAGATAGCTAAAAGGAGGGAGAATATACATTGGATGCAATCAAAAATCGAAATAAAAAAAAAATAAACGAACGTCATGGCATTACAGGAAAAAATTAATGAACGCTAACACCGCTCAGAAAAAACTTCAAACATGAAACTGAAGATTGAAATAACACGAAACCTACAAACAATTGCATTAAACGAAATTAAAAGCTGAGTAACTGTATTAATAAACTAATTCTTGTTGACTGTAGTAGAATATGTTAAGTGATTAGCTTCCCGGTTGTTTTTATAACCATTTTGCAGTTGTTTTTGAGTTACAAATATATCTGTAAGTGACAACGTCATTTTGACAGCAGCATTTTCAAGATCAGTTTAATGTAACAAGTGGAACAATAAAGCGAACAAAAAACAAATTCAATAGTAAGCCGACTGACATTATGTCTTTGTAATTCAGTTTCATGGCAGTTCCCAATTTGATTTTTGATAATTATCATTTACATAACTATCAATTTCCATTTTCTAATATGGAAATGCCTGCTTTTGCAAACACAAACTTGTTTGATTGAAATCAGACTTAACATTTATCGATCTAAATGTTAGAAATATAATATAATTGTTAATTTCAAAGAAATAATGGTTTTTGGTCGGCAAGCGGACTAAAGACACTTCATCAGAATAATACCTACACAGAATGTACAAGTACTCATTTGACCAACTTTGCAGTTCTGTTGAGTTTATATGAAATAGTATGTATTAATATTTTTATTGATGATAACTTAAAATATTGAACGAACATTACCTTAGTTAAGACAAATCTGCGCATGCCTGTTATGATGCTGATCGTGATTTTTTCCACCACGAAAATCCAAAATGTGTTCCTAACAAACACATTAATGCGACATAGTCTAAACCCAACTATCGATATTGATCCTTAAGTTAAACTGATGGACTTCTTTTCTTAAAAAAAGATTAATATAATTTCTAAAAGCAATAAAAAAAACATAGATCTGAAGCGTATCACGATGAATTAGGATCCCATGCAAATCCGGAATATTTTCGAATCCCGATTGCTTCGCGTTTAGAATTATATTTGATATATCGAGAGACCTAAACAGACATTAAAAAAATTACTAAAAGACTTTAAGTAGCGCAAGAAGTATGCTTCACAAATCAATGTTTCAAGCACAGTAATTGCAAACATAAATGTTGTTTTACAACTGAAAGTCGAAATGTTTTTTTGCAAATTAATATGATGCATATTTTACGTTTTTTTTTTGTAAGTGGCCTGCACATGCGTAATGTTATATACTTTATAGGATTATAGAGTAACGCCGCTTTGAACAAAAGTCTTTTTGTTCACCATATTTAGATAAGTTCTTCAACGTTAGTTTCTAATGGATCCATACTTGCATTTTCTATCAAAGGTTCACAGTACACTTAGCTATAAGCAAAGTGAAACCCTCGATTTTATATTATTAAAAAATAGTATTATATAGTCACAACTTATAAGAGATGTATCCCTGGTTTTCTAAATATCCCCTGTCAATGTATCAATGTTTATTCATTTAATGTAGTCGGCGGTCCTCTAAATTGTTTGTTTAAATTAAAACTCATCAAACTTAAAATGGCTTATAATTTGGTACGCCAGACGCGCATTTCCTCTACACAAGATTAATCAGTGGCACTCATATTAAAACAATTGAAAGGCCAAATCATGGTTATGAAAACTTACCAAAGATAATATTTAGTCATATCCCTTAAAATATTATAGATATGCTCTGTTACGGATTAAATACTGCCATCTATCATTAATAATATACGTACCTTGAAACCCAAGGAAACTTAGTTTGAAAACAGAAAAGTTGCATAACAATAACCTGAGTGTTTCCATGAACATCTATTATCTTCAAACAATGGTCAACTATTAGTGTCTCTTATTCTATGAGATATCTATTAAATTTTTAGTTCAAACAACATGAACCTCAGGCTGGCTCTGGTGGATAGTTGTCCCATTGACAAACATACAAGATCTCCCTATTTATATCTAGACATTTTTAATAAAGGTTAACTATTGCATATTGTTTGTTTGCAGCCAGATAACCACGACAAGGTTCTTGCAATTATTACCCAAATTGGTTGTTCGATATCCATTGCTGCTCTTGTCGTATTGTTAATAATATATTTTATTGAGTGGAGGTAAGTTTTTATATGATATAACTGATCTTCTAATTTCTTGTTTTCCGAAATACTTATTGTGTGCACGAAAAATCTATATCTAACATTTATGTTTCCACTTTACAAAGGCAATCGTCGCATACATGGACAGAACGTAACGACACTTAACAGACAAATCAATCATTTATATACTGAAATGATGTAATTAATGGATCCATAATCCGTTTTGGTTATATAACCCTTCAACATTTAGGTTTTTATTACATCCTTGGCTTTCAAATATTCGGCCTTGAGCGTTCCTGATGAAGGTCAATCCAGAACAGCGCTTCGGACGCATGACATTTATAACGTGTTGTTTTAAGTTTTCAAATCATTCTTTGATTTGATTGCTTGAGAAGATTAAATGATCATGATATCGATGATAAGATACTCATTAAGAGTTGTTAAAGCCTTCTGTTTTTCGATATTGGTTTTTTTTTTTATCAAAAAACTTTTCAACCTGCAATACCCAGTCTTAAAATATTTGAACCGAACTAATTACTCAAGTTGATACATGTGATAATTTTGACTCGAAGTTAGCAAGTCTTTTCATAGTTTGCTGGTACAACAATGACAGTCAGTTGATGTCTATATCATGAATACAATCTGATACACGATCTGATCAATCGATTATCAGATTGTTATCATATTGATGTTCTCAAATATCCGAAGTTTGAAACAATATTAAAGCCTTTCTTACCTCATTCGATGAGCTCATTCGACAAAAAAGCGTCATCTTGTGACCTACAGCTGGTATTTTATAGTTTCAATATACATTTAAAAAAAATAAAAACAGTTAAAACCGCATTCTCCAGAAACGGAGTAGGGCCGAGTGTTAAGGTACATCAGAGCGAACTAGACCCCCTATAACCTACTGTGGATTCATTTATTTTCATGGGTATCAATTTTCTTGGATTGAACAAAACTTGCATTTTCGTGGATACTTGATTTCGTGGTTTTTGCCAAATAAAATTGAGAATGGAAATGGGGAATGTGTCAAAGAGACAACAACCCGACCATAGAGCAGACAACAGCCGAAGGCCTAAAGTCTGCATATAACATTATAAAAAATTTGTTATTCGTTAAACACTTTATTTCGTGGTTCACCTGTTCCAACGAAATCCGTGAAAATTAGTATCAACGAATAATAAAAAGAATCCACATTATATAGTGTAATGACTTATATACTTTTCTATAACTGTTGATGTTATTTTGCAGACTTCTTCCATCTGACAAGTCAAAAATTCTTGTCACAATGGCTATAGTTTTTCTCCTAGCGTATGTGGTATTTTTAGCTGGAATTGAAGGAACGGAGAATAAGGTGATTAGTTCCCATTAGTTGTACATGTTTAACGCGTACTTTCTTGCAACTGACAGCTAAAAAGGAATGAAATATGCATAGCCCGAGTTCAGTGGTTGTTGTTGGTTCATGTCTGTCATATTTTTTATCGTAAATTGTTTTGTTATAAATTAGGCCGTTAGTTTTCTCAATTGAATTGTTTCATAATTTTCATGTCGGGGCCTTTTATAGCCGCCTCTACGGTAAGGGTTTTTCTCATTGTTAAAGGCCCTACGGTTGCCTATAATTGCTTACATTCACTTCATTTGAACTTTGGCATTGTCTCATTGGCAATCATACCACATCTCCTTATTTTTATATAGCGTGTTTATTTCATTTTTGCGATTATAATAGTATGGTAGATATTGCAATCAAGGATAAATGTTTAAAAAGTTGTACGTAACTTGAACAAAAGTTTCATTAAAGATTAGAAAATGAGAGAATAAATATGAAAATTTTCATTTCGTACGACATTGTTGTCTTTGTAATTCGTTAAAATCTTTGTTTTATAAAATCATATATACTCTTGCATAATGCTTACAGATCGCCTGCAAGGTAGTGGCCATTGTCCTTCATTTCCTATTCTTAGTGGGTATACATATGATGGTTGCAGAAGGCATTGTGCACGGAAAAATGCTGGCCACCGTATCAAAAGAACAACGTGCAATATCACCGATTCTGATTCCAATTGGATGGGGTGAGTAATTGTGTGTTTTATATACTATGTATTGATTAACAAACACCTAGAAACTGTTGTTGCACTCGTTTATTCTTTTAGTAAATCGATTGATGTAATATTTTATTACCTCCCTTTATAACTATATATTAAAAATGATAATGATATGAATAAAACAATTAGAGGTCAGTTTATACATTACAAATCTAACACCGCCTCGGTGGTCTCGTGGTAGCGTGTTCGCCTCGAGTGCGGCAGGTTGTGGGTTCGAACCCCGGCTGGGTCAAACCAAAGACTTTAAAATTGGTATTTGCTGCTTCTCCACTAAGCACGCGGCATTAAGGAGTAAGAGCAAAGACTGGTCGGCTCGGAGTCTGAATAATGGGTCCGGGTAAAGTGACATGTCTTTCTGCGGACTGTTACCTTGTGAACTAGCATGTTAAAAATCCGGCTTAGCGTGTCGGTCTAGTACAAAGCAGGATTAGTATTCATTCTACATTAACATGTTCTCGTCCTGAATATGAATATTAATTTGCCGCTGGACGTTAAGCAGCCATGCATCATCATCATCACAAATCTAAGTTCAAAAATTGGCACACAAACAATGTTCAATCGTAGAATGTAACAGATTGCAAGATGATGACCATTTTAGCCACAATATTTAGTTCAGAACAATGAAAAGGATTAGCGTACTATTAATAATAAAAAGATCCCCCACTAAAAAATTAGTAAAATATAATAAACCGAAAAACCTTGTGGTACGCTTTGGGACCGACAATCCCCAAGGAGTTATGTCGACTCAGGAATAGTTAAATATGATACCGTTTTCATAGAGTACCATAAAAGCTTATGCTTCTATATAATTGTATGATTAGTCTTGGTATATTTGCAATTAAAAACCTCTTTGAAAAAGGATAAGCCTACTATTAATGATAAAGAGGCCTCTTATCCCCACCCCCCAACAAAACTACAACCAACAAAATGAAACAGACAAACAATTTTTACTCTAATCCTCTATTGTAACATCATAAGTACTTGTCATTAGAAGCACGACGTACGTTTTAACATAAACGGTACCAATTTTTCTGCACCAGATGCGCATTTCGACAACCACTGTCCTTTCAGTGATGCTCGATGCCAAAATATTGGAATTCCAAAGCTTATTAAAAATATAAATAGGAAATCAGGATATACTTTCCCTTCCACTTGAGATCAGTCCTATTTATTGGTAGTGTCTGTATTGTTTAATCTTAAGTTTTCTATGTTGTATTTAGTAGACTGTTGTTTGTCTTTTCGTCGTTTTGGGCTTGATATTGTCTGTTTTTTACTTATGGTTTCGATTGTGTCCTTAGTGTCCTCTGCTTCTGTTTGTTTTTACTTCTAATCATTTTATAGTTTTAATGTCATATTTTATAGTTATATGTCTAACTTACGAGAACGAAAAAAATTTGTTTATAAACTGAAACAACACTGAGAAGTAAATGAGGTAAAAGATCGAAACTCCAAATGAAATCCTAATTATCGGACAATTTGAAAGTTTAATACATAGTAACTTCAGATAAGTAACTAAATGTTGAAATATTTAAAAAATCTCATGGGAAAAGAGGGAAAACCTAGTCTTAGCTTATTAGCTGCTTTTTATTGCAAGTAACAAGTTTATGCACATGTATATAATTTTAAGATTTTTAATGTAGTGTCTTTTCCTATAGGAATACCGGTGCTTATTGTTGCGATATCGATGGCAGTTACAAAACTAGAAGGATACGGCGATGGAAAGTAGTAAGTACCTATAAAATATACTTCATGAAATTCATATTAATAAAAATGTGTACGGAAATTTATTTCTAGTAAAAAAAAGTTCTTCTGCAGTTTTTATTCTTCTATGGTGCCTAGTATAAGATTATATTTGACATATTTATGAATAATTAAAAAAATATTACACTAATTCAGTATATTCTATATTTGCATCACAACCAGTTTTATTTACTAACATATGAAGATCTAAAGTAAAGTTGCAACAACACAACATGGTAGCATACGAATAGGTACTGGTGTTCAGATTAAAAAGGCGACACGATAAGTGGGAAATGTATCAACGGCACCATCAGTATGCATTCAACAATACAAATACAAACATAAAATGAATAAAATGAAGTCAACACAATCTTATTCCTCATATTCCCCAAAAAGGTGGGATATAGTAAGGAGTATTTTTTACACAATTGCTTTTCATCGAATATATGTATAATATCTTAACTGTTTGGTATGTGGTTGAAGGTAGAATTTTATAAGAATATATGTTTTGTTCTCTTTAGTTTTGAACCAATTTGTCCTATCTAGATTAATTGAATTATATAAATTTGAAACCTTAAATTGTTAATTTGTAGTTGTATAATGTAATTGGGTATGAATGATTGACGTTTGTCTGATTAAGGCTTGTTAAGTACAGATTTGATATTAAGAACAGCAATAAAAGCGTGGTAATTTTGCTTGATTCTTAACATGTGCGTGTAATGATTGTGTCATGAAGTGTGCACTATCTTATTAGAGCGCTCAATGTGGCATTATAGAGCCTATACTGGAAAATATTGACACTGTCTTGTTATCTATGTTGGGTTCAATACTTTCTATTAATTCGTTTCCTTAAATCATTTCTTATAAAAATTCTCGTTCGACAAAAAAAAAAACTCCCAGAAAGCAAGATAGTTATACAACCATCAATAAAAAAAGTGAACATGAACATAAATATTTAATTGATTGATAAAAGTTTCGTGAGAATCAGAGAAGTTAAAGCACCAGGCAATTAATCTTATTCAAAATCGGGCCTATATATTTCTTTCAAGCAAGCATTGTTTATGTTCATTTGTCGGATTCTTAACTTTACAGAAAGTTATATCTGACCTTAAGATCTTCAGATAACAGCAAACAGTGTTTACATTAAGTAATTTGACCATCAAAATTGACGAGATCTAAAACATATACAGAAATATAGAGACTTTTGACAGTCTAAATAATTTAAATGGAATATGCTTTTTGATAGAAGCTAAAGAAATTGAAGCTGTGAGAGATTGCGCCGGTGACTGTCATAAGCCTTGCAGTTTACCCTCATATATCAATTTTGTGAGACATTTTTAAAACACCAGAGATGAGCAATAATCTTTAAACAAATCCGAGTCACAAGCTTGTTCATATAGTATAAATCTCATTTTCATAAAAATTGTGAGGCAAAATATGGTCAATAAAGACTTTCCTTAATTGTAATCGTGTACAAGAACGTCCAAATGAATGAATGTGTGTACACGTTCTTATTACAGTACGTGGGGTGTACAAATCACAGAAAAGGGGGGATTTCAATATATTTCAACCGTTCCCATTCTCAATTTTAATCATTTTAACATTACTTTGAAAAATTTAGCTAGCATATATAAAAACATATATATATATAGTGTTACTGGTTTCTGTCAAAGCATTTATACTTCCTGAGTATTATTAGTAGTTTGTGGTTTGTTAATTTATTTCGATCGAAAAAACGACCAAATTTAGAAAAGAAAATTTAATTTTTTGCCTTTTTTTTTATACAGTTGTTGGTTATCAACAAGCAATGGACTGATTTGGGCGTTTTTCACTCCGTGTGCTGTAATAGTTGTTGTAAGTTGCCTTAATATTTTGTTGTGCAATGTAATGCCAAAAGTGCTATCATATGTCAATGAAAAATTTTCTATGCTTTTGTTGCATATCATTTTCCATTATAAAAATGCATATCATTTTCCATTATAAAATATTTCATTTAGCGTTTTTTATAATTTAAATACCAAAAAGAAAATTTATCATCATCAAAATTAAAAAGATTACAAAAGGAAAAGGTGTCTAAAGGCCACGTTTTTTTGTTATTTGAATTCGGAAATCAAAAATGTATAATAAATCTATCAAATAACATCATTCCGATGTTCATGAGAAATATGTCAGATAAGTATCAGCATATTTGGTTTCGAGTTTAATCATCTAACATTTCATGCAAAGGAGAGGCTAAAAATACTAAAGTTATAGTCAAAATTTTAAGTCAAATCAAACTGACAATGCGATGGCAAAAACGCAACACAGAAAACTAAAGACTGCAAAACGAACCCAACAAAAACTGGAGGTTTTCACGGGTGCTCCTAAAGGAAAGGCAGATATTGCTATAAATTTTCCACCCGTCGTGTTAATCATTTTAGTACAAACTCGATAAGTTTAATTCGGTAGGTCACGTTCGACCAAAGAGGACGGGATTGTGATTACGACAATTGAAGCATATTCTTCGTCATCTGTGATACAGATATTCCAAAACGGTCAACAAACTCGTGATTGCGTCCGTAAATCATTCGAAAGGTTGACTTCAATTTTACCAATCGATCTCTTGGTTTAATAACTTCTTCGTAAGTACCATCCCTCTATCAATGAAATAATGATAGTAAATGCAAGATCTGGAATATCGTATCAACTGGGAGATATACACTCCATATGTAGGCACTCTGCTGGAATGTTGCTACATAGAAACGGACAGTTAACAATAAGAAGTCTGAAAGCATCTCTTTTGTTGTAAAGTTATGTTCTCAACCGACCCTCATTGTCAATTTCTAGATGTTATTCATGATATAAGGCAGACTTAACTGTATTTATTGTATCCTTTATTTCAACATAGTCACCAAACTTTGAATTATCCAGTGAGGGTCAAACAACATCTATATAGCGGAGCGTGAAGTTACATATAATGCTAGCTTCTTTTCATTTTTCGTAAAAAGCTCCCATCAAAAATGAACACTTTGCCAAAATAATCTTAGGTTTTAGATATTAGTTATTAGTGTTAAGGTATGAACCAAAGCCTTACCCAGACAGAAAATTCTCTGTAGAACGTTTCATAGAAAAATACTAGTACAGAAAAAATATCTTTTCTTGTAAGACGTTGGACTCAGTTATATATTGGGAAAACGCTATGTGCAAAATTAGCATTTCTAGTCAAATATGTCTATGTCAATTTGTAGTCACATATGTAAAATTTCTACATTTTTTGACAACATAAGTGACATTTCTGCACTATTTCGTTCACAAAAGAAAACTCGTTACATTGGTCGAAAATCTTATATTTATTGTATGTTATATAATACAAGTTATGTTCAGTGGACATTCAGCAGTTTTCCCCTTTAGCACTACATTTGTGTTATTTACATATAGCTTTTATTATTGGTTGAGTTGAACATGCACCTATTATTTTACAAACGATTTTGATTGCCCTGTTTGTATCATTTAACTCGGTTTTATAACTCTATTCTAATCTAGAATTACTAAAGATATATCAAAGTCCATACATTTAATACCAGTTTCATTAGAAAAGTCACTTAAACTATAAAACTAATTATTAACAACAAATACAAGCAAGTTACAAGCAAAACAATAACAAGTATAAAGAAAATCCTAACAGCAAGTAAGCTCCAAGACTTATTATCAGCTAACATAAAACTGCAACCGCCCTGCAATCAGTTTTGCAAAATTTTGAATCATGTTGAAAAATAATCAAATTATGTTCTTTTCTCCAGACCAACTTTGTGATCTTTGTATTTGTTGTGAGGAAACTGTTCTCGTTACAAGCTGTAAAAAAGAAAACAAAACTACAGCAATTAATGTAAGTACTATCTAATAAGTTCATATTATATACAGTTTAAACCAATTTTCAGGCGGAAATCCCGTTATTGATATTATGTTGTACTGCGGGTTTGTGTGCAGTTGATTGGCCTCAAATTACTTTTGAACCGTTATACAAATGAGTTATAAGTGTTTGTATGTTGTCACTGATGACAAAATGGACGGAATTCGTTTTTGACGATTTCTAATTTTGCTCATGGTTGATAACATTAAGGGTACCAATTTTAATGCACCAGATTCGCGTTTCGACAATTAACGTCTCTTAAGTGATGCTCGTGTATCTAACAAAACCATTCCTTGGTTTTCGCCATTTTCTTTCTTTAATCGCTACACTCGTTCAAAGTTATGACTCGATCAGCTGACTGATATGATTCTGATTCGACTAGAAAATTAGTACTTAATTTACTCCGCCTAATAATTTGGTTCGGAGTTAAAACTTACATTTATCCTATTCTCCCTCCATTGAAACTCGGCGAAGGTTTCTTTGTCCGACTTGTTGAACATACGAGTTTTGTTTATACAGAAAAGGGATACGGTTTGGGAGATGAGACGTCATAAAGTTGAAAACTATTTGTGGCGGCGGCAAATTTATAATGATTTATTCAAATATACCGAATAAATTGCCTTCTGACATTTTTTACCATGATGTTTATTACTACTTTAATTGGTAATAGATTCTTCGAATATAAAGATGTAATTTTGTTTCCTTTTCTGTTTTAAATATATGTGTGTTTGCTTCTCATCATATTTAAGAAATCTGTTGATGAAAAACATATAACTCACTATAATTATTTTGTAGAACTGGATTGAGATGTTTTTCAGTTTTAGCACCCCTTTTTGGATTTACATGGACTTTAAGATTCTTCTCTATAAATGAAGATACTATCGTTCTGAGTTATCTATTTGTTATCATCAATTCATTTCAGGTGCGTACATGTATAAATAATTTCTGTGGTATTTTGAATATAAAAATTGTAAAATATATAAAAAATGAAAAAAAAGTACCAACAATTACAAAATGTACAAATCAAACAATAGACAATGTTACAATACCACGGAGTAAAATTGGAGAGGACAATTGATACTTGGTAAAAAAAACTGACGACCGAAAACCAGGGTCCACAGTTCTTTATCCACTAATGATACTCGCTGTTATGCTCATGTTACATTTAGAAAAGTAATGACAATATTGAATAACTTTTTTCTGTATTATCATTTAAAGTGACGAATTAAAACATGTTATTTCAGCTTATCTGTTGTAGCAATTTGCAAAAATAGCTATAAACGAAAAATGAAATAAATATATGAAATGCTATTCAAAGTTCCAGTTTGTTTATTAATTATTACCGAAGTACTGGCTATTGTAATAGTGATACTCTTCAGGACTAACAGTCCACCAGAAGATGTATTGATAAGATTAATGGCATCAGTGTTACATCACCAGATGCACATTTTGATAATTAATGGCTCATCAGTGATGCTGGAGGCATAAATATAAAGTTTTGGATTTCTTTCTTAATGTTGGAAAATCAATTGAGTAAGGTACTGTGACATATAGCAAATATCTATTTTAGAATTATATTACTCAAAAGAAAGCTATTAAACCAAGAGTTCCAATTGGTGAAGTTGAGATCGTTCCTTCGAAAATTTTACGGACGCCATCACCAGTTGGTTGACCGTTATGGAAAATCCGTTTCACCGATGATAACGGACATGTTCCAGTTATTGTAACAATCCCGTCCCCCTTTCCCCGAATGTGACCTACCAAATTAGACTTATCAACGGGTTTGTATTAATATGAACAACACGACGGGTGCCACATGTGGAGCAGGATCTGCTTTCTCTTCCGGAGCCCCCAGTTGTTGGTGGGGTTCGAGCTGCTCAGTCTTTGCTTTTCTATTGTGTGTTTTGTGTACTGTTGTTTGTCTGTTTGTCTTGTTTTTTTAGCCATGGCGTTGTCAGTTAATTTTCGACTTATGAGTTTGAATGTCCCTTTGGTATCCTTCACCTCTTTTTTACAGGAAAAAATAATCTGATTATTACTTAGAATTTTGTTTTTAATTATCTACACCATACATTTATCTTCGCTTACTTATATGGATACTAATATGAAAAACCCATATGTAATAGAACTATTTTAAAATAATTGATTTCAAGTTTATTGCAATATTATCATATAATTTCAGGGATTGCTGATATTTATTGTACATGGATTATTAAACCCCAAAGTAAGTATTCAGATGTTTTCATTCTGTATAATGCATATTGTTATACAAGATGTTGTCTCATTTTTAACGGCTTTTAGAACGAATCTATGAGTACACAGAACAAAGTTACATATAATATACACAGCTTGAAACTATAAGATAAAATCGATTAACATCAATTTGAGTAAGTTTTAAGGTAATCAATTGGAGAATTGTACGCTTGGTGATTGTATAGTTTTCAACGAGTTAATAAAAATAATCGATTAAAAATGTTTTGCAGTATTCATATATTTTTTTCAATAAACCGTTGTCATATTCCAGCACCCTTCATAGATCACCAGGGGTTTCGAACATCTATTTAAACCAATTAGATAAAATTAATTGATCATGGCCGTCTCCTTGGTTTTCGCGGATCCCTCCAGACCTTCGTTTTACAAGTCATCACGTACAATTTCTAAAAAAAAAAAGAAAATGAAAACAACACCTTGTAAATTTCATGCGTCCGAAGCGCTTTTCTGAATTTACCTTAATCAGGACCGCTCAAAGCCGAATATTTGAAAGCCAATGATGTATAAGAACTGAAACAGTCGAAGAGCTGTATGACAAAAAAAACTCTTTAATATATAGCCAAAACCTTCTTAGGTCAACTTTGCCTGAGCGAATTGAAACCTTTGTTTCTTTATAATTTCAAAATTTATAAACGGACAATTTCAAAAAGGAATTGTTATAAATCATATTAGTACCGAGGTACTGACTACTGAGTTGTTCATAGAAATATCATTATACGTGTAGATGGCTTGAAATTATATAAACTGAATATTTCAGATTCAAAGTTCATGGACACGGAATTATCAGTATTTTGAAATTTTCCTTTTTGAATGCTGCAAAATATTTAAAATTTTTTCCAATCAATATTACTATTATCATGTAATTTAATCTTTCTTAAACAAGAATATCAAAATACTGAAAGTTTGTATTTTTAGTACATTTTTCTGATTTTGATTGCCACCCCCTTTTTTGGCGGGCCCCTCCACATCTTCGTTTTACCAGTTCTGACTTATAATTTCGAGAAATATCATTATACGTGTAGATGGCTTTAAATTATATAAAATGTATATTTCAGATTCAAAGTTCATGGAAACGGAAAATATCAGTATTTCGAAAGAGAGAAAAGTTTACAACTACAACCAAGGGAACCGACGAAATTGCTTTTGTATGTAAATTTACTATTTTTATTAATATCTACTTTTCTTACTTTGATATAAGGAAATTTTGTATTTCTCAATATTCCTAACCGATTCCTAGGTGTCATGCTTGCGTCGCGCACTTATAAATTAATATAGTACGTGAAATTTAGGCGTAAGAGCTAAGACTAGTCGGCTCAGAGTCAGAATAATATGTGCAGGTAGGGTGACATGTCTTCCTGTTGACTGTCACCCTTTGAACTAGTATGTTAAATTTCCCGGTCAACTTGTCGGTGTACGTCAATGCACGATTCATATTCATATCACATCAATAGATATGCATGTTGTCGTACCAATGTACCATTCATTCATCTTTATAGTCTTACTAAGATTTTGTTGGAACCTTATTTATTGAATTTATTTCGATTTTACTTATATTCATATTAAATTCTGAAATGAAGCTTTCGAATGATGCCAACTATTGAAATATTGAATATTGTATTTCTTTTTGCAGGACGACATTACAACTGTCTCGAATAAAAGAGTTCATACAAGTATAGCAGGTAGCCTGTTACACATTGCTAAATATATAAATATACATGCACCGTCATTAAACACAAAAAAAAATCTGCTGGTGGAATGTAAGTCCATGAGGGTATAACCAGCCCAGTAGCAGATTCTTTCGGTACTGGCTTGAACATAAGGATATTGTTTGATTTTAATTTGCTGTTATAAAATTTAGAAATAATTTTAAATTAGGAAACGTATCTCCATCATGCGTAGCACTGAATTCTTGTCCACGTTTAGATTTATTTTTGTTCCAGTTTGGTTTTGTCAGCTCTTCAACGCTTGTTTTTGGAATTGGACTATCTAATTGTTTAAGTTCGTGCATCAATGGAGAAACATTGATTGTCGAAATTCGCTGCTGGTGTACTGAAACTTGTACAGATATTGTTATTATTATCAACTTTTCTCCATTTTCCCAATCAAAGTAGTTGTTCCACTACAATATGCAATAAGGTCCAATTTTCTGTCTTTTAATTCACACAATCATTTAGTTTCTGAAGACCATTTAATAAAATGTATGTAATGGCAAAGAACAGGCTTATAATTTATAATTAGATTAAATAGTTAGGAAGATGAAGGGATTTTAGGCAGTTACATAGAAATAAAAATATAATTCGCATCGGTAGTACATATACGGTTCGTGATTAACCATGAGTTGAATCTTTCAAATTGATAGACAGGTTGAAATTTTTTCCATTATATGTATTATATATTGCTTATAAAAATGTTATTTTAAAAGAGAGACGAAAAATACAAAAGAGACACTCACAAGTCGAAAACGAACTGTCAATGCCAAGGCTAAAACAAAAAATGACCAAACAATAAACAACAGTACACAATACAAAACATAGAAAACTCAGGACTTGGCAACACAATATCCACCAATAATCGGGGTTGTTCTTAGGTGCTCTGTAAGGGCAAACAGAATCTGCTCGTCATGTGGCACCCGTCGTGTTGTTTTTGTGAGTACAAACCCGGTGTACAAATAGGTCAAATAGGGGAGGTCACATTTGAGGAGAAGAGGACGGGACTGTGGTCATGACAATTGAAACATTTCCGACGTCATCTGTGAAACAGATATTCCATAACGAATAACCAACTCGTGATGGCGGCCGTAAAATTTACGAAAGGATGATTAAAGCTGCACAACTTGGAATTCTTGGTTTAAAAGCTTCCTCGTAGGCAGCAATCCTCTATCTAGGAACGCATGATAGGACTCACGATATGGGAGGTAGATACTTCAAATTCTTCCTCTGCTGTCTTCCTCCTATGTTGTTACGTAGAGGTGGAAATTCACATTGGGAAGCTGAAATAATCTCTTCTGTCAGGGAAGTCGCAATCTTGCAAAATTAATAAGCACCACCCTACCTTTCAATAAGATATCTTACAACAATTGTGGTCATAGTAATTTGGACAGTAAATCTTAGTGTCGTTAAAAAAAAATATATAAGGCTTTTAATCTGAAAGGAAAATTTGAAATTGGAGCTCAGATTAAAACTCGAGACCACCAGCTCCATGCTACAATTACATTCACCGAGACTTTAAACAATTGTACAACATCGCTAGCACGGTTCTGTTGGACAGAAACTGTAACCGATGTAAAATTAGAACGTTTATATGCACTTCATGTTAAACTGAACTAACACATTGATGACCGGGGAAATTATGCAAATGACAGTCCGTGCTAGATTTCTTTATCTGCCGAAGTTTGTAATTTGTTGATTTAACCGCGCATCAGTATAAAATAAGGATATGTATAATGATTGTCAATGAGACAACTATCAAACTATTTCAACCAAAAGCACCAACGGCTTATTCATTGCAAAATAATAAACGAAAAAACAAAATATAACAGACAGCAAGCAACGACAATCACTGAACTACAGGCTCTTTACTTTGGACAGGCACATACACAATATGGAGGGATTATACATGTTTATGCGCACTCAACTCTTCTCCAACCACCAGGGACAACCGTGTAACATCACAACATAAAAACAAATAGTTGGAAATGGCCTGACTCAACAGATCGGCTAGAAGCATAAAAAACAACAAATAACATAAAGACAAAAAAAAAAACAAAGTACAGATCTTAGAGTACTCACAGTTACTGCGAGCTAGTTCAAATTCAATAACAAATAATACATCATGTTCTCCTAGACTAAGTATCAATCTGTAAAAATCAGATTGATTTAGTCTATAGACGTCATAAACAGTCTTAGAAAAGTATGACCTTGTGAAATGCTGAAATATAAGTACTGTGGTTCGTTGTAAAAGTCTCACCACAAACATATAGTGAGAAGGAAAACAACAATAAAAGTGATTTTCGTTTGATTAGGACTTTGTTAAGTATGTGTCACGAAATAATACCCGAGATCCCGTTTTTCATTAAGTTCTGTGGAACACTGCGATAGGTCTTCCAACAAAAAGAGTGTTACATAAACATTTCTTCATCTTTTTTTGCAGGCCCTGAGAGTGAATCATGATGGCAAACACAGACTTAATTTCTACAAAAAGAACTTGACCGTTGTTGTTTTTTTCACAATCATTTTCTTGGAAATACTATGTAAGACATTATCGAATCTTATGATATTACTATTTTTTTTAAATATGAAATTTTTCAATATATTAGCTTTTTTGATGTATTATTGATAGTATAGATTTAAATATTATTTTGCCGATGAATGTGTGTGCTGAATAAATATATCTAAATACAGCTTTAATGAAAATTGGAAAGTTTCAATTGAGGTACCCTCTTTGAATAGAGTTCTTTATCATTTTGATTTTTTTTAATAATTATTTTTGCTTGTCTACAAGTTTATGCTCTAATGTTATTTTTCATAAGAAAAAAATCAAAAAATAAAACATAAACAAATGTTGTTGACAGTATTTAGAAATTATAACAATTTCATGTGATAATAGTCATGGTACAATGATGTACCGAAATAGAAAATCGTTTAATATTGGTTACCAAGACATCACATTAATAAATAACATCATCCTCCATACCAGACAAAAAATTCTGAAAAAAATACGGTAAATTAAAGGAAGCGGCAGCCCGTTAAAGAGAATGGAAGGATACAAAAGGGACATCCAGACTCATCGCTAAAAAAGAAAAAGACAATCAGACAAGCAACAGTACAGAAAACAAAACATAGAAAACCAAAGACCGAGCAACAACAACCCTAACAAAAACTGGGGATGATCTCAGGTGTTCCATAAGGCACCCGTCGTGTTGCTCATGTTAGTAAAAATCCATTGAAAAAGGTCTAATTCAGTAGGTCATATTCGGGGAAAAGGGGACGGGATTGTAGTATCGCAATTGGAATATATCCGATGTCATCAGTGATATTCCATACCGTCAACCAACTCGTGATGGTGTCCGTAAAATTTACGAAGGAACGATTCGACGTCACCACTTGGAACTCTTAGTTTAATAGCTTCCTTGTAAGCAGCAACCCGACAAAACCAAACTGTCGACTATATCAACCAACGAAACGAATTGATAACAACTGTCATATTCCTGTTAATTAATGTCCAATGTCATTGATCGTCATATAAGAAGATGTGGTATGATTGTCAAGATTAAGGAAACATCTATCCACAAGAGACCAAATGACGTAGATATTAGCAACTAAATACCCATTTCAGAGAGATGGACAGAGGCTATTTTTTCATTTACATACGACACATCTAATCATCTACAGCCTATGTTTGACTACTATCATACCAACAATCCACATAGCAGATGCCAATGTTTACACTCTGCCGTTAAAAATAGATAAGCGCATAAGTGATACACTATAGTCTAAACTTCCTCATGTCTAGAAAACTTGTAAATACAGTTTACAGTTTACAGAGACGACTAACTGGATATTTCTAAAAACAAAATGAAGTCCTAAAACTCCTGATTTGGCATTTAATGAAAAGTTTGAGTGCTTATTCATATTGTAAAACTATAATTCTCTCTACTAAGCCTTATACTGGTCGTTTTCACTCACTTTTGAAAATATGCGCTCTGTATTATATCCACGGAATGGTTACGACATTTATAAATTTCAATAACATCCGTATCTTTCAAATTTTTCGAGATGAAAATTAAAAACTTTATTTTGTAAAGTTTTGAAACCATTCCGGCTCAATTTTTAAAAACAATTCACGTTCTTTACATATTTTAATAGACATTATAATTCAGTGAATTTCCGGATCTATTTCTCCATCCGATACGAAGTAAATTTACTTTTTATTGACAAATCGCTTCAAGGTAAAAAGTAGTATTACATTTTCTTGGCTTTAGGTTGGCCTTTCGCGTACCCATGGCAGGTAAATGAATTCGACTTAGGAGCGCTGTGATTGGATGTAAGGGTACAATTATTTTTTATTTATTCATGAATAACTGAGGTGTGTATATTTACACTATAAATTTTGAAACCAATTGAAATATTTTCTTGAGAATAATTGGAAAAGGCTTCCAAAGTTTTATAAATTTCATGTAAAACGACGGTGGGCATGGATACCATAAACAAGCTCCGTTCGAAGATGGTCATGATACTATTTGACTTTAATTTCTAAAACAGAATAATCTATACTACTAAAAGAACGAGGTCCAATGTGTTAGCCAGAATGACGTAAAAACGACGAATCAAAGAATTCAACTTTATATATAACTAATATAGGACAATGGTGTTGATTAAAAATTACACCATTCAAGGCCCTTTTGTTTTCCACATAATTAACATAACCAATAATTAACAAGTTCCGGGTCGTATCCGATACCGATACCAATAGTATATGTATGTATGCATGTATGTTCTGTATCTTCCTCCTTTATTATGAGCACCATTTAACACACTGTATCGGTACAGATTTAATGCGAGCATTTGCCTACCCAGTTTCCCAGCCTGGTCATGACAGGTCTTACTACCAGTCACATGTAGTTTCGTGTTTTAGTAAGAAAACCAGGACGGGTTCGAACAGAAAGATTTTGAAAGCAAGGAAAACTATGCACCTTATAATCAGCATGACTTTATTAGATGACAATACGAATACTAAATATCCAGGCTAAAAAAAGGCGTAGATACTTTAATTCAGCCAAGGACACGCGAAGTACTAAAACTACACATAACTGTTTTGTCGAGGGTTTTATTATAAAAAGTGGTAATTTTAGAAAATGTAAGTATTATGGAAGAATAAATTCTAAGTTTTCCCTATACTGAATATAGCAAGTGAAATCAAAATCAATCAGAGTTCAGTTAAATTGCACTATTTTCAAGCTTTTGATTAGAACATTCGATTGTAATTACCAAGAATAGAAATTATTCACCGAAACCAATACTGTGTTGAGAAAAGTGCTGAGTCATCAAGATAAGTCAAATTGATGGGTACTGATATAATCCAAAAACGCTTTCACTAATTTTCATGAAACTTTGGTGAATTGTTTATATCTCTTGACGTAAGCTCCCTTTCGATTTTTATAAATTGTAGATTTAACGTTTCCGAGTTATGGGATTTTATTAATAAAAAAATGGGGGATTTTCAATTTTTCTGACTATAATTCAAAACACTTCTTTATACACTTTTCATGAAACTTTAGTGATTTTTCATAGATATAATGACCTTAGTTCTCTTTCGATTTTAATAAATTCAGATTTTTAGTTTTGAAGTATTTGGACTTTATTCATAAAACTGCGACTTCTTAGTCTTCGGACAACAACTCAAAAAAATGTGAGCAGTCTTTATGAAACTTTGGGGGCTTGTTTATATCTATTGAAATAAGCTCCCTTTTTTTTTCCATAAATTTCTGATATGACATTGCGGAGTTATGGAACTTTATTTGTTGAAAAATCCTTGAAAACTGTCCATCCTTCACACTTTAGATGGTTATATAATTTTATTCGTTCAATAAATCGAGGCCACAAACTTCATATTATGTGTAAATGGGTTCCACTGTGACTGCATGTTTTTTTTTTTGGAGGGGGGGGGGGGGGGGTATATTTGAGCAACGCTCACAGTATTTCTAGTTGATCATATAAAGTTTTTTAAAGCATAAAGACGAGCTAAAAGGGTAAAGGGCGTAACATGTCCTCAAGGTGCGGCTTTTCGTTTTCTTTTTAAATTAAAAGCTTCTATCATGTTTTCATCTGTGTTTAATTCAAATATACATCAAAAATTGTCTTATATAAGGAATATAGAATATGTGATGTTGGGACATACCTTAAGAACGATGGTGTACAATTCAGAAGGAGAAAGAAATAAGAATTACTACAAATTAAAATACAAAAAAATTCTACTATTTTATGGTAAGAAAGATGACCTGTATCAATTTGCTTTCTGAAAACTATTTAAATATATAGTGTCTCTAAAAGTTCTTAAGATAACTTATAAATGATCCCACTTGATAATCAGAAAAAAGTAAGAAATGAATAAGTAGGGTGACTTTTAGAAAAAGAATTCGTAAACAATCATCCCTTTTCTGAGAAAAAATTATTATAAAAAAATAAGTTTCTATCTACCTGAAACAAATATTGTGGTAATGAAATAACATTTTTCTTACATTTCAATAAATTATAGTTTGCAATGTAGTTTTATTTGTCTAGGTAAAGTACATATACAAAACACAATGACCTTTAATCATCCCCCTTTTTATTATTAATGTGGAACACACTGACTTGAGATCCTCTCCTTTTGTATAGAATGAAATTAACAAAATGACTCGAGGTCATATCCCTTTGTAAAGGACGAGATTAACACAAAGATGTAATGTCATGACTACTTGTGTAGAATAAACACATTAATGAGCCATTTATGTAGAACACAATAACCAGAGCTCATGTGCATGTTCTACAAAGGTATTTTACGCTAAATAAAATTGTGTCTGCAGTGAAAGAGGGATTACAGAAATACTGTGAAACTGTTTACTGGCGTAGTGGCATTAACCATGTTTGGATTGTTTAGAACTCAAAAGAACTTCTGAAAAATCTCGGCCAATAAATTCTATCAAAACCTTTAATTTTTCCACCCTTTACACCACCATACACCATGAATAATTAAAAACCCATCTTAAAGAAATAATCCACAATGCTTTCTTTCATAAAAATGGTACCATACGCTAAAATGTATTGTTTTTGGGATATAATTCTACATGTTTTTAAAAAATGAACCATAAAATAAAACATGCTATACAGAAGAACAAGTGATCAGTATGCTAGCGTTTCTCATTGACAACATTTTTGTTGAATTGAGAGATATAATTTTCCAGCAGGTTGTCGGAATTCATATGTGAACCTCTCCTGGCCGACCTTTTATAAGTTCATTTTGACTAATTTTGGAAGCTTTTATGGACTGCCCCTTTTTTCAATTTGCCTTGGAGTTGAGTATTTTGTTGTTAGGATGTTTTTGTTATTCAGTTATTAACACTTACGGTTTTATATCCTGTCGATACTTTTATTTATGGATTGAACAATGTATTTTTTTCTTAGACTGTTTATGACGTCTTTACACGAAATCATTTGGATGTGTACCAATTGATATTTTGTTTTGTATGCATAATTACGATGTTATTGGCATTGAACTAGCTTTCATTAATTGCAAATACTCTTCAATCGGTACTTTATTTTTTTTGTTTCGTTTGTGTCTTTTTAGTGTTTTTGTGTTTTGTATCAATCTGATTAGTCAAGTCTTTTCCAACAGATTTTTATATTTTCTTTTACGTTGTGCTGTTACATCAGTGTCCCAGGTAAGTAGGAGGGTTTGGTGTCCATAAATATGTTAAACCCTACCACATTCTGTATGCGCCTGTCCCAAGTCAGGAACATGTAATTCAGTGGTTGTTGTTTGTTACTGAATGTCATATTTAATTCTCGTGTGCTGTTTTGTACAT